CCGAGGCAAAGCTAGGTAGCAGACCAAGAGCTCTCACAGCTTTTCACACCCTCCCTGCATGCCTTAACACCACCCCTGTTGTCAACTTGGGACATCCCCAGCCCCTGGGGACAGTTATGCCTGGTCCTATCAGAGATGGAAAAAAAACCTATCGAAGTAGATTCAGAAACATAAATTTCATTTGAGCATTTACTGTTTATTGACAATATATGTTTGGGAAGAGGTGCCGAGGCTAAATCATGCCTCATTTTTAGGTTTACGTGCTTTTTTACATTTGGACAAACCAACCATAAATGCTCTAGACAAGTGAAAACTCCTAACTGTTGGACTGCAGAACATCAATCTTGGTTAGCTGGTAAATAAGGATATTGCTCAAGATTCATCTTCTAAGTGTATACGTACTTCTGATTACTGTATTGTCTTTCCTGTCTGATACACTGACTGCCAACTTCCGCAAAACTCTTTCCTGAGCGGGGAAAAACTGAGGAAACTCTACCATTCCTGTCAACCGTCGGACACACACACTCTCCCCCATCCCCACCCCCACTCCCCCCCACCCTACCCCAGCAGAAAACTACATCACCCGGCACGGAACGGGGCGCAACACGATTGCCCGAATGCCGGTGCCCGAACACTACGACTCCCGGCATGCTCTGCGGCCCCCGCACACCGCGAGATTTGCCACTGCGCGTATTCCGTTCCTCCCCGCCTCCCGCCCGCCCGGGCCGCAGTGCGGGCGGCGGTTCCGCTGCGCGGGCCGGGGGCTCCGCCGCGACTGGTTCCGGTTTAATTCTGGCACGGTCCCTACCCCTTCCGTACCGCCCCACGCCGCCGGCACAGCCCCGAAACGTCCCTTAACCCGCTTCCCCTTAACCATCTCCCGGGTTTCCCGCGGCCCTTCCGCCCTGCGCGATGCTCAGACCTGAACCAGGGCTCCCCAACACAGATCCCCCCGATGCTGCCGGCACACCACAGCACACCGCCGGGCCTCGCCGCCCCTCTGCGTCGCTTCTCGCCACTGCGGCAACAACGTCCCGTCCGCCCCTACGGACCCGGCTCTTCCCGCTGCCTCTGTGCGCGCCCCTACCCCCGGGCGGCTTGCCCCGATGCGCGTCCCCGTTTGCGTCACCTTGGTCGGGACGTTCCCAGTTGCGGGGACCCACCTAGCCCCGGCTTACCTCCTCGGCGGTTGCAACTGCGGCTCCAGTCCCGGCCGGTGATGCTCGTTGGCGGGTCCGTTGTCCCACACCACCTCACGTGCGACTGCCCCGACCGCCGCAGCCTCCCATCCCCGCTTCCCTGACAGCGTGCAGCTGCCCCTGGGTCACCCCTGCAGCCCGTGGGACAGAAAGGGGCCATAGCCATCAGCCACACCTGAGGATATTTGCACTTTCTTGCCCAACCCCCCCCTGGCCTACAGCAGCAGCCCATGGGGAACACGGGGCTGTGGCCACCAGCACCGAAAGAGACAACCAGGTCTGGGGCAGTAGAGGTGCATCCCAGATCCTGACAGCAGCTGAAAGCTAGAAGAGCTCGGGATGCACAAAAAAAGAAGAGTATTAAGGGAACAAGAGAACAAACACGGAGCTCCTGGGATGCAGTAAAAGGAAAAACAAGGAAACATCAGGGAATGGCAAGGGTGCACAAGGCAAAGGGAGAGCCCTGCTATGCCTGGAAAGAGAAACAGCTGGCCTCGAAGCATGCCAAAAAACATTGGGAAAACTCTGGGACAGGCGAAAGCTAAACAGAAAAATCTGTGGCACACTGCCACAGTTTCTGACCAGAAAAGTAATGTACACGTGAGGAATAAGCAATTGGTGTAACTGTTTATCTGGAAAGGTGCAGGCCTGTGCTGTATTGCACGTAGAGCTTGGCCTACATTTGGAAGTGCAGCAGAACAGGAACGCACACACCAGAAACACTTTACAGTTGCTGTTTATAAGGCTTGGTTTTGGCCACCATTCGTAAGTGACCACACACAAATGGCCCCTGCCCTGCCAAACAGACCTTGCTAGAAAGTCCTATGACATGACAGAGCATCAGAAAGCAGTCAGGTGCAGGCTAGCACTGCACACAGGTGGAAGAGCAGCAGCATGGGGCTAATGACAACGGTTTGCATTAAGACAGATCTATCAGGAAATGCAGCTCAGTGACAGCATCACAATTACAATTCAAGATGCACTGGGTGGCAGTCCTGCCTAGGGGGACAGCAGACCGGGGGACCGAAGCAGGGTCAAGAGGTCCAGGAAGCTTGGCAGAGTGATGTAAAAAGTGTGATGCAGAGCTCGACAGAGAAACACAAAGAGATGGATGAAGGGCTGGAAAAAGAAGACAGATGGACAGGGGGCCTGACAGAGGAACAGAAAGAAAGGGATGGAGGGCCAGAAAGATGAATGGAAAAGCAGACAGAGGGACAGGGAGTAGAAGAAGGGAAAACAGGGATGTAGAGATGGATGGATAGATATAGGGTGGAAAAGATGGCTGGAGAACCAGGCAGGGTGTAAGGGAACTGGACAGATGAACTGAAACAGAGGTGTACACAGATATGGGTACAGAAAGAAAGGGATGGGTTGCCTAAGAGAGGGGACGGCAGGGACTGGGTGTGAAAGCAAAGGATGAAGAGCTGGACATAGGGACAGGGAATGGAGGAGAGGAAAAGAGGGATGCAGAGAGAAACAGATGAGGAGCTGAACAGAGGGAGGGGGAACAGAAGAAACAGATGGAGCGGTAGGCAAACAGACAGAAAGGAGAAAAGGGGGATAGAAAAGCAGAGGCATAGGGAGACAAAGAAAGGGACCAAGAACTGGACAGAACTGGGGGGCTCAAACAGAAGGATGGGGACGAAAGTAGAGTACAAAGTTACACCCATCTCCCATTTGAGATGTTTTTTTCCCCGCAGAATCACGAGGATTATTTAATGACATACCCATAAGAGGAGAAAAAGCTCAACTGTTCACTCGAGTGCTGTGATTATGACTAACTCTCCAGCCAAAACTGGACTTTGGACCATTTTGCTGTACTGTAGGATGCAAGATCTAGCCATTACTTCCAAAGTGCTAGACTAAAGGCGCTTCTGTTACTGTGAGCGAAGTTGGTTCAGAAACTGTTTATGGTTACAGTAGTCCTTACCATGTATCAGAGTAATTCCCAATATTGTATCCTAAAGCAATATTGTTTTTTTTTATGATTACACATCAATATATAGTTCTGTCAGTATTAAAACTGCACAGGCCAAGTCTTGGGTAGCTGTCTCTGCTGACTGAATTACAGGTTGAAAATGCATATGCCAAGCGGAAAGCAAATTTCAGAAGTAAATTTAGCCTTGATGTTTCAGACCCAAAGGGGTGACAGTGAATTCTAGTGTCTTTTCAGTTCATGAGATTTTTGCTTTTTTGGGTTATGAATTGCCTTGTCCCCCGGCAGACCTGCCAGGAATATTGTGGAGAAAGAAATAAAGACTTTAGAAAGTGAGTGTATGTCTTGCTGCACTAGCTTTGGATCCTCAATTCATGCTCCAAATAACATTTCTTCTGTCAGGCAGTCTCATCTCACAGACACGTGGTAATAGCAGCCTCAGTTTTGAGGAAAGTCTGCATTAAAAAGCTAAAGTTAGTGCAGACAGTAAATGTGCTATATACTCTTCTAGGACACGATGTTTATAGACTATGCAAAATGGAAATCTTGTCATAGAGATGAATGGCCTGTTGAGGTTTCAGGGCTTTATCAGATAATTTTGCATGCCTTTTGACTTCTACTGTCAGCTGTTGAGCAGGCTTAGCTTAAAATGTCTGTCTTAGTGTTGGACACCGAGATTGCCACCTTGTGTGAGGAACTGCAGGAGCAAGAGAAGGGCATTTTAAAAAGCAGCAATCTGACTTGCTACTCACACAGCTGTGGGTGGAGAGGGGACAGGAAAGGACAAGCCTTCTTTTGCCCTCTGTGCTTTCTGCTTACCTGCAATTCCCCCATTGTAAACTTCCCGAGATCTCTTTTGCTACAATCAGCATTCTTAAATTGGCAACAAAGCTCACTGCACAGCCCCTGAAGATACTTCCTTTTTTCTTCCTCTGTGGAGTTTTGGAGGGTGCTATCAAAGATCCTAAAATTCAAGCCAATTTGTCTACTGAGGACTATTTATAGGTGATGCAAAAATGAGTCTGAAAGTACCTATATTGTCTTTTTGTGTTCTGGTCCTGCTCCTTGGCATCCAGATGTCAGTAAAAAAAATAAGCCCTCCTTATATAAAATCTGTTTCAAGAGAGCAGTATGCAGAGTATATACACACAGAGTCCTGACGGACACACTGGAAGCAACCCAAAGGCTCTGAAATAAGGTTCGCAGAAGAGGGGAACAGTTCTGACAGGGTCAAACTATTTGAGGCTCCCAGGCATAAACCCCCAGAACTGTTCTTTCTGGTGCTGTGGTGGCTGACCCCAACAGGGAGATGGGCAACCTCTTCAGTCAATGTCTGAAACATATATCCCTTGCCACCTGGTTCCTCTTAGGAAACCAGAACACAAAATACTTTCTTCTGCCATGATCCTCACTGGGGTAGACAACAAATATGGTATTACTGATGGATACGAGTGATATAATTGGCAACATTTAAGGCCTGAAGAGAGGGGAATTGTGGTTAATGGCTTAAATCAATAAAAAAAAAACCTTCTTGGGTAAAAATCCGCAGTGTACCTACTACAAATCTTATTCTGTTGCACTGGTATGTTTACAAAGGTAGATACATAAAAAGGAAATATATATTATAACTATACATAAAAATGCATTTGTTGTTATAAATTAGATATTGCACTGTTTTGTATTACCCATTTTATAGATATACGCATAATAAATTATAAACACACACACACATATATAAAACATGTAAAAACTCTTGGCCAAAGTTGGTTAGAAGGAAGTGAGGAAAGATAAATTCCTTCAAGCTGGAATACATAGCTGCAGTCACTAAATTAAGGTGTGCTAAAAAAAATACATCAAGGAAGAAGGACGTTCAACTTTTTATTGATTTCCTGTTACATTCTAAACAAAAACTGACCAACAGTGTCAACAGCACAGTAATTTGCTGTTACTGTATTACAAAAAAAACTCTTGCTGCCCAGTTCCAGAGAAGCAGCAGTCCTGGACCGCCTGCCTTATGTTGGATTAAGCATAATGACTGAGGGAGCTAGAACCCTCCTTGAGTAGGGAACAACAGGATTTATGGATGCATCTTCAAGCAGAGCTTGCCTGTGCAAGACAAGTGGACCATCTGTTTCAAAGACTGCTTTTTGTTAGGCAAGATCTTTAGTGTAAGATGTAAGAGCTGTAATACTAGATACATCACACAGAGAATACTAAACATTATACAACTTTGTTGTCTCTAAAATAATGAAAGAAATATAGTTCATTATCAAAAAGAATTGTGTTCCTCATACAAAGTAAATGCTTCTATTTCAAGTATGTTTTGGGGAAAAAACCCATGGTGGATATTGTCTTTCAGTAGTGAGTATAATTTAGATTAAGAATTAAGAATTTTCAAATGTGAAAAGCAGTGTTTTCTAATACTATGGAAAAAAATAGAATCATCTTGCAGTCATAAAAAATAGAGCAACAGCCTATGTTATACATTACTGTTGCTCATCATTTTGTTTAGGTGCAGGACAACTGGCTTCATACTTTTTCTTCAAGCCTTTCAAATATATACGCAAACTGTCGGGATCCAATCGAGAATTTCTGGCAGTCTGAACCAATCTCATTGCTAAATGGTATGTAGCTCTCTGTTTCATCATCTCAGGAGTACTCTTCTGCCTGTGCTGTTCTTAAAGACATACACATGCATTAAAATATGAAAACAACTATGTTCTATTACTAAAATACAAGTATTTTATGAATAGCCATTTTCCAGCCTATTTCTGATCTCCCAATTCTTGGTTTGTACACCAACATTACATCCAATACTCCTTAACCCTAAGGACTGCTTTGTGTTGTCACCTAACAGTGACCTTCAGTATAATCTTCTACAACTGGATCCAGAAATACAAATTTTAATGAAATCTATTTTCATGAAACCATAGGCAGTGGTTATCCTATATCCTTTCAGAAACTGAAAATATAATCAAGTTTTATGAAAATGGTGAATTACAGCATTGTAATTTTCTGCTACATACCAAAATTTGTTTTGCAATGCGATTTGTGATTTCCTTTGCATCCAAAATTACAGATGATGGCAGGGAGGAAACTTCTGCAGCTTTTAATCCTAAACATATAAAACACAAATCAGTATTTCTGATGTAATTTTTTCCCCTACCTTCCACAGTTTGTCTGCCAGAATTAACTTAGCCTATTTTTTTAAAGTGTGACTTGACTCTTTCATTGTTCTTAGCGCAACTTTGATATACATTTTCTCTTCATGTCTTTTTTTTTTTTTTTTTTAATAAAACGGTTTTGAGAGTTACAAACTTCCACATTAAGTTACTGCTGGTAATACTGTAACTGGGCAGGATGAAACACATTGGAGGTGAAAGGAAAAAAATGGCACAGCGGTATTAACAGTTTCATCTGTTTATTTTTTTAATCTGACAGGCCAGAAAATACTGAGGTTATGCTAAATGGGCCCTCCATTAGATCCAGACATCCACTGGTTATGGATGTCATGTTCCAACTTCTACTCTGTTACCAGTAGTCCAACTGCCAGATACTCAAGGTGAGAGAGAGATGTAAAATATTTTTTTCTGCCCTAGCATGATTTTTTGACTTTTTCCTTTGCCTGTGGCCCTGGCTGTTCTGAGGAAATTCTGTGCTTCATCGTGTGCTTTAATACTGTCAGGTTAAAAATGAAAAAGGGTCAAGAAGAGCCCTTGCACCCTTTCTTAGAATCCAGCTTTGCTCAAGTAAGGTAAAGCCAAGACACCAACATTGAGTTACTAAAGGCCTCCTGTTCTCTGGGAATACTCTCTAAATATACGATTCTTCTGAATCAGTGGTGTTGTAACACCTGAAATTGAGCTTGTGCTGCCAAAGGTAAAGGAACATATTCCGAAAATCTGATAAAGACAATTTTTAAGTCCAGTTATTTGAAGCTTGACTGGAATAATTTCTAGTCTTCAGTTACCACTAGCTTGCAAAAGTCATGTGTAGATAATTTCCTATTGATTAAATGTCACCTAAATCAAGGATCCAACTTCAGAATCCAGTATCTGGAAACACAGGGATTTCTTTAACTCTTTAAAGCATGTAGCTATGCCTTACTATCACTCACTTATTTCTTTATTGATCCATAATCTGTCAATCTGTACAGTCTTCAGTATGATTTATTCTGAAGTTAGAAGAGAAGTAAACCCACTTTCCTAAGAATACTGATGCTTTAGTGGAACCACTCAAAATGGCCTTAGGCTGATACACAGCAAAAGTCCTGTCCTTTTTTAAAGAAACTTGATTCCTTTTTGCTAATCAAAAAGGACCAGGCTGCTAATTAACTGATACATCATTACTTACGGCAGACACACAAGAGAGTTTACATAACACAAACCTCAGCATTCATAGCTTTAAGTCTCTCGAGAACTTTCACTCACTTCCATAAACAGAGATTAAATCAAGTTCTGTGTGCTCAGAATGGCTCATCTCATTCAAACAGAGGTGAATCCAGTAGCTACTGACATTGCTAAAATGTTTTTTTCACTATGAAATTTCATAGAACTTCTTTATACTACCCCACGGTTACTTAAAACACACAAGTATTTGGAACATATTACAGATCTGCAGTTGTTACTCTATGAGAGAGATACAAACTCAGCAGAAATCTGTCAGTAGAAAAATAGATAGATGCCTAATAACTGAAATAGTATCTTATATAATCTTTACTAAGTTAAAGTCACGTTCCACTAGGAATCCATTACCGTAGTTCTTTTCTTCTGTATATCCTTTAGAGAGTGCATAAGTGTAAGCAATTTTCTCATTTCCAGCACTGCTTCTCATATGTTGCACTTCAAAATGGTAGTTTTCCACATTTGGATATAAAGCGTCTATATGACACAGTTCCAGGAAATGTGTAGCAAACAACGTAAACGCCTAGATAAGGAAACAAGAAAGGAAAATTATTTAGGAAATGATCCTGGAATGCATTAAAATAAATAACTTTTTCTCCAGAATAAGGACAACCTGACTTTGAATTACTAAGGCAAATTAAAATCTTTAAGCGACGAGTTCTACCATTGGCAAGGATACCTCTTCCAACTGAGGGATTCTCCCATTCCCTTCTCAATAGAAGAAAAAGAATATCAGAAGTAACAGGAAATCCATCCATGATGCTTACAAAATTTGACTAGGGTTAAGCTGAATGACTGCCAAATGGTTGCCTTAATACCCTCAGGGAATGTTTTGCCAAAAGAGCAAGCTACAGAAAATATCTGAGCTTTCCAAACCAAACCACAAAAGTATACCGAAGAAACTCTGATGAGAAACTAAACACCAACACGCTTATTTCAAAAAGCTGACAACAACCTGAGGTCGATCACATAACTAATAACATAGATGAAACTTCCAACCCATCTAAAACCATCTTCCACTTTTCTAAACAAGCCTCTAACCTCTGTGACCAATTCGTAAGTTGTGTGAAACTACTGCTGTACTTTGGAAAGGTAACAGCCAGGTAAAGAAATTCACCTTTAACCTTCAAGCATACAAAGCTGTACTAGGCAAACCTAAAGAGACTGGGTTTTTCCCCTTCTAAAAAGAAATGCAAGCTTGCAAGCAAGTTGGAGAGATGGTGACCAGTGTACTGGTTTTGGCTGGGGTAGAGTTAATTTTCTTCATAGTAGCTTGTAAGGTGCTATGTTTTTGATTTGTGACCAAAACAGTGTTGATAACACACCCATGTTTTAGCTATTGCTCAGCAGCGCTTGCACAGTGCCAGGGCCTTTTCTGCTTCTCACCCTGCCCTGCCAGCGAGCAGGCTGAGGGTGCAGAAGGAGATGGGAGGGGACACAGCCGGGACAGCTGACCCCAAGGATATCCCACACCATGTGGTGCAGCAATAAGAGCTGCGAAGAAGGAGAAAGGAGGGACGTTCAGAATTATGGTGTTTGTCTTCCCTAGTAACCATTCCATGTGATGGAGCTGTGCTTTCCTGGAAATGGCTGAACTCCTGCCTGCCAATGGGAAGAAGTGAATGAGTTCCTTACTTTGCTTTGCTTGCAAGGGCAGCTTTACCTGTTAAACTGTCTTGATCTCAGCCCACAAGTTTTTGCACTTTTACCCTTCCAATTCTCCTCCCCATCTCGCTGTGGGGGAGTGAGCGACTGGATGGTGTTTAGCTGCCTACTGGGGTTAAATCACAACCACCAGTGAACAGAAGCATAGTTTATGTCAGCATTTTTCCTCTATCACCGTAATTCTTACTATTCACTAGTTACAAAAAATCTCTACAAAGCTGAAGTAAAATTATGAGAAAATACTATATGACAAAATAATTACGAGGTTTAATTTTTTTTTTTTTTTTCAGAACAGAATTACCTTTAAATTCAATAGATATTCACAGGCAGCATAACAAATGCCAATACCTTCTTCAGCACTGGTACCTCTGCCAAGTTCGTCAATTATGATTAGTGATGTGTCATTAGCATTTTGTATGATGTACGTTATCTAGGGAAATACTTAGTGTGAAATCATTCATATAAATGCATTTTTAAAAACCCTCATAGGAATACTGCTACTAATAGGAATACTTTGTGTTATTCAGATGAAACTTAATGCAGAAATTTTTAAAAAATCTTGTCAGATCCACAAATTTTACCTTTTCACAGCTTTCAAATAACTGTCAATTCTAATCGGACAGACTCTTACTACAGCACCCTTTTCCACTGAACATATCACTTCCCCTCAAAATCGTATCGGTTTGGGAGAGGGAACTGAGAGGACTTAGGGTCCTACAAATAATCATTTAAGGTCTAAGAAATAACAAGTGTTGAAACTACTGTCCAACGGAGCAGATTTTTACTTGTACTGGGATCTCTTTTTATTTAAGCTATACCTGGTTTTCTGTGGTTTAGCATCAAGGTAACAGATGAAAACTGGATTTTTGACTACTTTTCAAAAGTACACCCTTTCAGTGGAAATATACTAGTATAATTTCTATTAGCTTAACAGTAAAAATGGGCCTTGGACCCTCGATTAGTTGTGTTTAATACCTCTTTCATTTCCTTCATGAATGTTGATGCGTTTGTTTCTATATCATCGTCCATACCTATTCTGGTAAAAATTTGCTCTGAGATTCGAAAAGAACAATACTCTGCTGGGACGTAAGAACCTACAAAACAAGTAAAATATGAGTTTTATCACATCAGCGTGGGAAATGACAACTTGCCTGATCAGTGGAGAAAAAAAATACATCAGTTTTACATTTGGTCTTTATGCACTGTAGAGAATGCATCTTACTCTATAAAGTTGCGTAAGATTTATTACTTTATGGGAAAAAAATTATTACACAGATACCGTAATTAAAGCAGCTTATCGGAAAAACCTTAAGAAATCATATGCCTGAAGCTATATGTCAGTCTGAAGGGATGTAGAAGTGCAAATAAACAGTAGGATTAATTTACATTTCTGTAGTCATTGAGTTACTAATTCCAATGAATCTTAGTTTCCCAAAAACTAGATTATATTGCCTTTATCAGACTTTGAGGCTTATCAGTTTTAATGAATAGAAAAAAGCGTGGAACCTGCTAAAAGACTTTGCAGTCTCCTTTATTTGTAATAAACTCTTATTTTTTGAGAGCAATTCCTGAAGAACTTGCAGTTGTTGGGGACCAGACCCACAAACACACGGTAGACAAATTTTATTCTCCACTGATAAGTAGTTTCATTCTAGTACAGTTAGGGTTAGCCTATTAAGGTCTTTCTCCTGTGCTACCAGCCTTACCTTAAAGGTAAAAATCATGAGGAATTATTCAGTATAGGCATGAGTCCCAGTTAGACTTTACAAACATTTGTTTTACTTTTATAATTTTAGTGATAGAACCTTGCATTATTTATCACTACTTTTATCTGAGTAGTGATTATTTACCTATTCATTCTACTTGGCTGCAAGCATGTTTCTCTACATAACTGAGGAATGCTCAAGTTCATCTGATCTTTTTGGATGACTGACACATACGTAGCCCAGTGGGCATACTTCAAGGACACTCGCTATCAGTCTAGCATAACATGCTGGATTGGGGTAAGGTGGTCCAAAGAATTAAAGCATACAACTGTGCTTCTCCTAAAGACAGACTGAGGAGGCAGACAGGGCCCCATGAGTTTCCAGTGGCAGACCCAAACGCTTGCAGTGGCCTCTGTCAGCGACACAAGAGCTTGTAGAAGCAAACAGACTAAAAATTGCCTGTTACTTTTTAGATAGAATCTTATTCTAGAAGCCAAATCATTTCAACTTCATACATATTTTTAACTAGAAAACAATAAATGTGCTGCAGATTACTAATATGGTACACTCACCAATCTGTGCCATGATTTGACAGAGCGCAATCTGTTTTAGGTATGTTGATTTTCCACTCATATTTGGTCCTGTGATGATGACAAAATTGTTACCCTCTGTCAGGTATGTGTTGTTAGACACAGGTTTTTCCATAGCTATCTTTTCAAGAATGGGATGCCATCCCTGCTTGATTGCTAATGTATCTGTAAATTCTGGACGAACTAAATGAGAAGGATATAAAACATTGCAGAATTAGTATGGAAACCTTTACGATAATAAACGAGTGCGTTTTCAAGTAAAGTAAATCTTGCAGAGCATAAATCAAACTCTGTGGTCCTGATTCCCCAATTTTTACTTTCCTGTAGCGAACCAGACTAGCATGCAGCACTTGGGAAGGATTACCAGCCACCATCAGCTATAGACTCTGAGTATCATGCAAGTCTTCATGATTTTTTACTACAAAAAGAATCCCATAACTAACACTTAAATTGCTAAATTAACATTCTGTATTTGTGTTCTGTAGTAAGTAGGGTTGGACTCCAGCAACAAAGAAAAATACTAAGAGCAAAACTTGAAAAGTAATTAAAACAGAAAACGTGAAAGCCTGAAAGCCAGTTTCATAGCTAATATATTTTTAGTAATTTATTTTTATAGTGCTATGAACATATAAAGTACAGGGTTCATGAACTCCGTTACTGCTATATAAGTACCTTATTATATAAGCATGGGAAACAAAGAAGTAGCATTCCTTCTATTTTTGTTACATTTTCTCATATTGATTATTTGGGTGTATACTATGCCTACAAAGATCCAGCTGATACTGGGACTCTCTGTACGTATTTCTGTCAGAATACAGTTATTTTCTGAACCTATTCCATATGCCTCCTCTTTGTCTACCTCAATGGCAGTACCCCAGGCTAACAGAAGTGTTGTTAAATTTGGTGGGCTGTTTAAATGGAGCAGCCTTCAAGAAATAAATGCCGAAACAGATTTTCAGGTTTAAACATTGGGGAATTCCAATTGCCTGGTATAGGTTTTAGTCACGGTTTTAGTCATTTAATGATTTAAATGAGAGAATCGAGTGGCAAAAGGGATTGAAAGCTACAAATGACAGTCCGTTTCTTTTGGTGGATGCATGTTCATGCTTGGCTGTACAAATGCAGGTGTAGGTTTAGTGGAGAATTTAAGTGGCTTTGGCCTCATTACTGATGAGGAAAACTTGTGCTCTGATTCATTTGGCGGGAAAAGATTGCGATGCCTCGGGCGTATCAGTTATTGTTCAGTTACATACTGATTCCTGTGCTATGTCTGGAATCATCAGCACATGAAGATCCACAGTCCATACTGCAAAGTAAACTGATCCTGCTCATGAACAGGAAACTACATTGCAACATCAGTAATAATGAGCTAATACACCTCCTGAGATGGCTTCCAGACCTGATTTAGTATCTACATTGTACTGTACTGAAGATAACTATCTCGAGTAAACATTAAAGACAATGTGCTCTTTTGTACATAGCGGAACAACAGGGCTACAGAAGCCTAGGATGAACAATATGCAGGTAAGCACATGATCCTGGACTCCTCGGAAGACTGTATTTCTAAAAATGTCTAAAAGTGCTGCAGAAACTGAAACAGATAAACAAAGGTAGCCACATGTTTTGTTTTACAATATATACTTAATGTTGATCTGCTTATATTATCTTGTGCCCTTTCGCAACAGAAGTGTAAACTCTGAACGTTCACAGACTTCATGCTTTGGAACAGAATATGCTTAAACTGGCTACCTTGAAAAGACTGGCTATGAAGGCTTACAGCGGCTGAATGCCAGAATGTAATTTCAATAAATGGAAATCGGAAAGAACATCAGCACAAAATGGGAAAGGATAGACCAGAGGCACTCACGTAAAGTCTACCAAGACCCAGAAAAATAAATTATGCGGGCTTAGTAATTGAAGAAGCAGAAAAAACAGCCTAGATATTCTCCAACAGGAGTGTCTTTATATGGCCCGTGACAGAATCAAAGAAGAAACTTACCATAATCAGAAAGAGTACAGGCATGGGCAAATGAAAGCAGCATATCCAGCATTGACACAATGTCAGACAGCTTGTATAGGCAATGAATGTGTTCATAGATCTCGTTCAGTAATTTACACACTATTCTGAAAAAAGACACTGATTTAGTTGTTGCACAATGCATACTGTCACTTTATACAACTTACAGAAATAAAGCAAGTTAATAATGTTTATACTGCATACATGAGGATAGGAGGTTACTCCTAAAGTGTAGTCATCTCTGCCAGATGGAAGCAAATGTATACGTTTATTTGAAACAAATTACGATCTTATACCATTGTCTCAGATCACATTCTGCTATCAGACACAAGACACAGCTCAAATACAAAAGCTTCAGAAAAAGAATGAACTAAAAACATAGCTATGGAATAAAGTATGCTTTATTAACATGTCAAATGCGACTCTAATTCCCTTAGGCCTTCATGTTAATAAAAACCCCACATGGTTTCTAGAAAAAATTTCCATAGCATTGACATGCAAGGTTATACTTAGTAAGTCTTCTGAAATAGACAACAGGGCAAGGTGACATGCAGCAAGGACAAAATAGAGAAACAGACAGTTCTACTGTAAATACAAGGAACCAATTAAAAGTAACGATACTGCATAACCAAACTAATGCATTATTTGTGTCATTTTGTGTAGATAATTCACCCACAAAAATTTAATAAATATGGTGGCCATCCTTAATAATAAATGCCCATGTATTCGTAATCACGTTTCATACAATACACACTTTGTGGGATTTTTTTTGTCTCAGGAAGTACACTTGATCAGTGTCACTTTGTATTATTCCTGTAAGTAGCCATAATTGAACAGAAAGATAGCTTTAGGACATTTAATTTGCTGTTAATTGGACAAAATAAATGAAGTTGGCAAATATTAAATAGTTTTAAATGGTCTTACAAGTAGGTCATGTGATATATTTCTCTCAGGGACTCCTGACATCTTTCGTTCATTTTTATTAAATCTGCTGAAGTGAAGCTATATGTGTTTTTAATTTTAGTGACCTACAGGGAATTCAAACCAACAATAAGAACTCGCCATATTATCAGAAACAAAAATAGTTTCTAAGAAGCAAACTGGGAACAACGCAGGGAAAAAAAACGTGGAAAAAAATGCCTGTTTTCATTTTTTCCCATATACATTTTTAAGAAAAGTCGACATAAGAGAATGCAGTTATCATCAAGATATACAACTTTATATTTACACACAACTCAATTGCATGTAATTGCTCATTTCTGACTATATTAAGTGTAACTAGAAATAGGGCAGTTGTAAAAACATACCAATTTTAACTTCATTTACGTCTAGATATCTTCACTTATATTGTTGCTTAAATTACTGTATAATGTGTACTTTATTAATGTATTATACATTTTATTGACATTAAGTATACAAACATATTATGAAAAAAAATGTAGTATGGACACCTTTGTAAATTCTGACGGAAGCTGGCCATTGGGTAATGTTGCACAATCAACATTCATCTGGATAAAAAATCCACGGGCAGAGCTGAAACTTGTTTTCATTGGTAGGTTGTACTTTTCTGCGAGTTGTGATATCATACCTACATATCACAAAAAGATTTGACCCAAATTACGTACATTCATGTGCAGACACACACATACATGTTTGTGTTGGTACAAATATGCATACTGTTAATGTGATTTATAGGCGTTGAATGTGTCAGGTAAGAAGTAACATGGCAAGAGGCAGGTCTCCAGGGAGTTATTTAAGTAACATATTAATGTAACAAATCTGGCTGCATAAAGCTATTGGGAAAAAATTCCAATGGAGAATCAGATAAATTCATGTGTTCTTCAAAGACAGTTCATGCATCTGACCAACTCCCAGGTGAGCCTAACTATGAAGTTTGCTCAAGCACTTGGCATCAGTGTCTAATCGGTAGATAGAATATGAACTGTAGACTAAGGACTCTCAGTTTTTAGCCAGTTCATGATTCTGAGCATTCTTCTTTCCCCAGCCTGAGGGTAATGCTTTACATTTCTAATCTGCTCCTTAAATCCATCTTGTTCCCAGCTGAGAAGGTACCATATGTGGGAAACTGTGAGACAGAAGAACATGTAGAAGGTGGTAATAGAGTGGTACTCTTGGGACAAGAAAGGATGGAGTTACTTAGCGGTGTTTCCCTGCTGCTTATTGCTCTAAGCTTGACCGCTCTCGTGTTCCAACCACTCACAATGTAGACTAGCAACTTGGGACATTCTGGATACAGAATCATAGAATGGTTTGGGCTGGAAGGGGCCTTAAAAGATCATCTACTTTAATCCCCACTTCCACAGGCAGGGACATCTTTCACTAGATCAGGTTGCTCTAAGACACATACAACCTGACCCTGAATATTTGCAATGGTGGGGCATCCACAACTTCTCTGGGAAACCTGATCCAGTATCTCGTCACCCTCATAATAAAGAATTTCTTCCTTATGTCCAACCTAAATCTACTCTCTTTCAGTTTAAAACCACTGCCCCTTGTCCTGTCAGTATAGGCCTCAGTAAAAAAAGTCCTTCTCCATCTTTCTCACAAACCCTCTTTATATATTGAAAGGCCACAATAAGGTCTCCCCAAAGCCTTCTCCAGGCTGAACAACCCCAACTCTCTCAGCCTTTCTACACAGGACAGGTCTTCCAGCCCTCTGACCAGTTTTGTGGCCTCCTCTGGACCCATTCTAACAGGTCCACATCTGTCTTGTGCTGGATATAGTGCTCCAGGTGGGGACTCACCAGAACAGAGGGGGAGAATCACCTCCCTCAACCTGCTGCCCACACTTCTTTGGATGCAGCCCAGGATACGACTGGCTTTCTGGGCTGCAAGCACATACTGCCAACTCATGTCCAATTTTTCATCTACCAGTACCTCCAAGCCCTACTCTGCAATCCATTCATCCCCCAGCCTATACTGATACTGGGGATTGCCCTGACCTACATGCATGGCCCTGCCCTTGGTCTTGTTGGACTTCAAGAGGTTCACACAGGTCTACTCCTCAAACCTGTCAAGGCTTCCCTCTAGCAAATCAACTGCACCACTCAGCTTGGTGTCATCTGCAAACCTGTTGAGGGTGTGCTCAAGCTCACTGTCTATGTCACTGATGAAGACGGTCAATAGTATCTGTCCTAGTATGGATCCTTTAGGGACATCACTGGTTTCCACCTGAACATTGAGCCACTGACTGTAACTCTTTGGATGTGGCCATCCAGTCAATTCCTTATCCATTTCTTACCTATCTTAAGGATTGATACACTTCAGTTCATCCGTCAAACCCATCTCTATCCAATTTAGCAACAAGGACGTTGTGGAGGACTGTATCAAAGGCCTTACAGAAGTCCAGGTAGAAGACATCAGTATTTCAGTCTTGGAGTTACTTAGAGTTTAATCCAGTAAAGAGGAAAAGAGAGAAGAATCCCTTCTGCAAGCATGTGGGTTACAGTAAAAATGGGCAAGGGGATCACACCTATCCACATATTCTGGAAGCCTAGCAGCTAACAAATTTTGGAAGGTTTTGGAAATAAAAAATAGCATCTGTACTTTTCACTGTCTATGATGTAGAATGTAAGACCAGAAGGAAACAGGAGAATCACAACATACAACAGATGGTACAGTTTCTGATTCTCTTTTATGTTTCCAATTATATAATAAACTAAGAAGATGGTCCTTTAGCTAGAAATCAACATTTTATACTAAAAATAGGAGGAACCATTCCAGAAAGTGAGATTTTGGTTTTTTCTTCTATTTTGCCTTAATGATAAACAGGAAGGTTACTACAGCACAGTAACAGACATTATGCTAAAATTCCTTTCATTCATATTTTCCAACTCTTAATAGCATGGCTAAAAAGTAGTCCACAGATTGGTCAACACTGCTTAGAATATAAAGAACAAAGAACTCAGACATCTTGTTTCAGGAAGCTAAACCAAAGGTTTACGTGTTTTATGCATAATGTTTTAGCCTGAGTACTTACTGTTACGTTACTTCAACTTTTTTATACTTTTAGAGGATAAGGAGCAACAGAGTTTTAAATACAGGAATCAAAATATTGCTGTACAGCTTCATTAAACTAAAACTGAGCTTTTATCTACAAAAGGAGAATCTCAATGTGTATCTCAAAATTACTTCAGCTACTTATCACTGACAATCAATTTATACTAAATACTTTTTATGTATGAGGTTATAATATATAAGATTACATGTCTTCTGTATGCCAGGTGCAATGTACTTTGAACTCCAAATAATTAGAAATCTTGGGTTAGAAATACCTGCTATGTCATCAACAATTTCTGTGTATGTTCTACGAGCTATGTCAAGAAATTCATTGATGTTAGGCTTAACAGCATAGCATTTCTGGGTCCTCATACTCAGACATCCTCTTGTGTACCTTGTATCATCATTAATTACAGTTGTAATCTTTTCAAGTATAATTCCAAATCTGCAATATTAGTTGTATTGTTAATTAGATACATAACAATTTATTTGCAATATCATCCAAAAATTACAACTAAGAGTTTTACAAAATAACTGAAGCAAATTATCTATTGTTAAAATCAAACACTAAATTTCATGTCTATTTTTTTCCTCAGAATGAAGTATGACTACACCCAAGTCTGACCAAAGATATCCTTCAAATCTTTGGGAGATATAAATTATTTCTCAAATACAGAGGCAACCGTTGATTTTGGCATCAGTATGAGGAGTCTAGGAAACCACTACTACTGTCTTTCCACAATTACTTCTAATGGAGTGCAGTTCATCAGCAATTGCATCATCATAGCTAACTTTGTTTTGCTTTCTCCCTGTATTTTTTTGTTAGTTGAAAATTAGACTTTTTGACAATTAAAATCAGCTTTTAGGCAAAAGAATTGAGCTACACCTGTAACTACAAATCAACAAAGATGCAACATCTTTAATCTTACAGACATTCTTAAGAAATGAGAAGTTTCTAACATACTAGCTAAAGTATTCTGATAAATACCTTGTATCATCAAGAGAATTGTAATAAGCCCTTAGCAGCGGAGTGTTACAGCTTCTTAAAGCAGCCTATTGAAGATTAAAATATGAACATGAACAGTTACATTTTGTAGCCTTTTTAAAGGACTGAAAGTTCTTAAGATTCACTGAGGCTTATTAGTGGTTGCATAAGCAGCTTACGGAATCTGAGCAGGAGTTACAGTTAAATGATTGTTATAAAATCAAATATTTAGGTAATGGTAGGAATGCAGTTCTTATGAGTATTAGATTCAAATGCATATTTCCATTTGGCTTAAGAATTAACAGACTATGTTGGCAGTATTGTTACGCCACATATAAAATCTTTTTTTGGACTTGATGATCCTTATTGGTCCCTTCCAACTTGTGATAGTCTAAGTCTATATTCTATGAAATTTAACAAACTGCACCATATAAGTAGTCTGTACTTTATTAAAAAAAAAATACAGAGACAGCTTACTTTTAGAGGCTCCACAAGTTCTAGAGTATGCTTTAGGTAGATTAAATTAGTTATTTTTGATTCAGCAGTTTTAACCTGTTGAAAAATTTTACAAATACTGAAGGTGGATTTATGTCTGCTTGTTTAAGAAAGTACTTAATAACTAGCAGAACTCATATTGTTAACTGTAACAGGTTTACAAAGTATTTTAGCAATTTTCATTAAAAGCATAAGTTCACTTTGACAATTCAATGCATAACTGCATAAAAAAAATGTTTACCTAAATTTTACACTGCCTACTGTGATAATTTGCCTGTCAGTAGCTAATAATTTCATATGTCTGCACTGATAATGACTGACTGAGAACACTCTGCTAACTCAGTGAAACTTCTTTTAATCTTCTACACATACACAGGTCTATATAAGCCCTACATAATTTATAGACTCAAAGTCTACATTGAGCTATACCTGTAACTACAAATAAGCAAAGCTGCAACATCTTTAATCTTACAGACATTCTTAAGAAATAGAGGAGTCCTTCTAACACATTAGCTAAAGTATTCTGATAAATACCTCATATCATCAAGAGAATTGACGATTGTCATTATGATACAAAGTTTCATTATGCATAGTAATTAAGAAGCACAGCCCTTTTCATAAATTTGTTAAATACAGCATAACCCAATTCGGTTGACTTATCTTTGGTTAACATATTTATATCCTTAAACATCTGCCCATGTAATTAAAAAAAAAAATCAAATAAATGAACGTAATTTTGCTAACATTCTCCTATGAGAATCTTCTACTGCTATAAAATAAAATACACTCTCAATCTACAATAACATTATGCCATGTCTTTTTAAGGTGCAGTCTTTTTCATATCATATCATGCATATTTATAGATATTACATTTCTAGATTGCCTGTTATAGCCAGATAACTGATCATCTGAAGTATATTTTGAAACATACTGTATCTTGCTTTGGAATTTGTACCAAAACTGAAAGTAGTTGTTCTGTATCCAGGAATTTTGAGATAACTGTAAAACAAAAGCAAGCAGATCAGAAATTGAACTGAAATTGTAATAGAGTCTGCACACAATTACTTAGTGATATTATGGTAATCTTTTAATTTCATTCTAACATCACAAATTATTTACCAGGGAAAAAAACAGTTTAAAAATAGCTGCTATCTAAATTATTTTTTCATAACTATACTTCCCATACTGTCCTGATTTCAGCTGGGATAGAGTTAATTTTTTTTCTTAGTAGCTAGAATAGTGCTGTGTTCTGGATTCAGTGTGGTATTTGGTATGAGAAGAACGCTGATAATACACTGATGTTTTCAGTTGTTGCTGAGAGATCAAGGACTCTCCACCTCCCCGTGTCCTGCCTATGCGCAGGTGCACAAGAAGCTGGGAGGGAGCACAGCCAGAGCACCGGACCCAAACTGGCCAGTGAAATATTCCCTATCACGTAACGTTGCGCTCAGTATATAAAGGAGGGGCAGCCAGGAAGGACGGGGTCCTCTCTCGCCCCCGGGATTGTGACTGCGGGATCTTGCTATTTTGGAATTGATAGTTGGCAACGGGCTGGTTATCAGCCGGCAGGTGCTGAGCAATCGTATTGTGCACTGCCTATTTGTACTTTCTATTATTGTTTTATTTTATTTCAATTATTAAACTGTTTTTATCTCAACCTATGAGTCTCCCTTTACCCCTTCAATTCCCTCCTCCATCCCCCGGGTGGGGGGAGGGTGAGAGATTGGCTGCGGCTTTGGGCGACCAGCAGGGTTCAAACCACAACATATACCTAAGCACGTAGCAATTACTGTATAGGTAGATACATATCAATTCAGCAATATTAATTTTGTTAGATTGATTCCTATTTCTCCTGTGATTAAGATTACATGATCCAACTTCAGGTGAACTAATTCAGACTCTGGTATCTTTTTTTTTTTTTTTTTTTACATTTGTCTAGACCACTATGTTTTATGAAGCAATGGGAAAAAAAGTAGTCATACACAACAAATATTACATCAGCGATGCCTTTATTTGTTTTTAATGTATACATTACGTATACTTGTATACTTCAAACATAGTGCATAACTAATCGTAAAGAGACAAACTCAAGTTCTTCACAAAAGCTATTAGCTCACTAAATTCTATCCACTTTATGAAATAAATTCACTTTTCTTAGCAAAATATTGGAGAAAAATATCACTATCATAATAAAGGTTATTTCAAAAAATCGTGTTCACTGTGTGACCTGAAAAATCATTTAAAAAAATACTTTCCAAACATACTGAGTCACATGGCATACTTCCGTACATTAGAAAAAAATGTTTAAAAAACAATATAATACTATGTATTAAAAAATAAACTACTACCTGCTTGAAGACCGAAGAAGAGCTCCTCATCCTGGAGTAATTCCTGAACACAGTCTAGTCTCATATTAATTGTTTCAGCATCAACTAACGGCTCCAGGATATTGGATCTAAGTCTTCGACTTCCACCTGGAGTTTTAGTGTAATTTAAGACACCAAAAAGAGTGTGACCATTCCTTTGAAAACAGAAGAGATGTGAAGAATTCACTCGCAAAAATAAAGATGGAAAATGTCAAGTAATGTTTTCAGGCAAGAGTATCCTACAAATCTGAGGCATGCTTTTGGGATGCTTAGCATCTCCCTATTTGCCATGTATATTATATGAACTACAGCTGATTAGGATGTCGGGCATTTTAATGTCATTTAATATAATATTAGGCCTCGTTATATCATTTTCCAAAGTACAGAAATACATTTGTACTTAGTATTTTCCTCATTTTTTGTAGTAGTATTCCATTACTACTGCAGTGGTACAGTTCACATTTTTCCTCTCAACTGAACTAATTAAAACCAAAACAAACTAACCCTACGAATGTACACAAATTATAACCTGAGATCAAATACTAAGCAAAATATTTTAATTAAAATACATTTCTGAAAATTATTTAAAATACTTAAGAGTCCAAGAGAGAAATAAGCTCTGCTTTTATTTTTATAAAGAACTGACAGTCAATACAGGAACCAAATAACATGCTTATGATTTATAAATATTATTTTTATGTTTGTGGCTTTTACATGTTACACATCCCAGGGTCTCACACTTAAGGGTTGATTGTACCTATTTAAAATAAACAGCCTAAAATATTTACATCTAGTACATACCTAAACAGTTTTAGAAACTTGAAGTCTTCAATGCTATTGGCTTAAAAGAAGGCCAATGAATACACTAAGGCCATATAAACATAAGGTTGAAAACAGAATTTGAATAGGAAGTAAACTGATACAAGTATACAAAACGAACCGCATAAAGATAGATAGTACAAAAACTCCTGAAATACCATGGTATAAAATAACAAAGTACGAGTCAAGAGAATTGAAAAAGAGGTAAATTCTGAACCAGTATTGTTAAGGACATATTTACCATAAGATACAACTCATGACAACACTTAAGGGTAACTACATTTGGAATAGTATCCACACCACCTACCTTTAAGTGACTGAGGGCTTAATAGGGCTCATTTCCCCATACAGTAAATGGAGAGATAAGCCCCTCCAGAATTTGTACTGGCACAAGAACTTGTGTGCCTGTACTATTAACTTTTACCTGTTAGTATCTGATACAAAGATATCTATAACCAGACTTTAGGGGTAAGATCTATGTATCTATGTAGTGGAAATAGCCATCTGTGGCCTGATTCAAAACGGCCACTGGGTCAGCAAAAATTCAGCAACAGTAATGCTAAAAAAAAAAAAAATCTTAAAGCAGTTTACTGTTGCTCAGTTCCTCCCATGACCTCCTTCCTCTCAAAACCATCTGTGGAATTAGGATCAGTCTTCATATAAATACTGCTCTGAGGGTACAAATCTTAGTGGTTCGCTCCTGAGATTACGTATGACACAACAGAGCAAACAGGAAGAAACTGGGGGCAGAGCATGACAGATGAATAGAAACTGTTGTTACCTCCCACTTCAGAACAGTTCTGCATACTCTGTGATACCAAAAAAAAAAAAAAAAAAAAAGCAGTAGCAGAAGGGTAAGGATGACTGATCGAGTCAGAGATGACCCTGTCCACAGTAGTAAAGTTGGAATGAGATGATCTTTAAAGGTCCTTTCCAATTCAAGCCATTCCATGCTTCTATGACATCTCTCCAAGTGGAAAGCACTTACGAATAATACTTGGAGAGTGAGGAATCTCCAGACTCCCCTTTTTATACCAGGGTGATGAGTGGACTTCTAGGGAGAGGTGGATCTCAGAACGTGGCAGGCAGCAAAGTGGAAATTCCAAGTCTTTCTCTTTCTAATCAGAAGCGTAACAATCCTGAGAAGGTAAGCCTTGCAGTTGCTTCTGCCTAGAAGGCAAGTAACTCCTGGTAAAGGAAGCGCTCCAAGCATTGTTCTTGTTGTGGAGAACTACCGTGCAATTAAGTAGCACACTGCATGCGACCATCATTACAGAAATAATCTTGTTTGCCACTATTCTTTAGAGCTAAAGGAAAACAAAACAACCTTTCAAGCCTGAAGAGTTTATCTTGTGCAAAATTAGTAAAACAGAGACATTTTAATCCAATATAAGCAACTTCTTGTGGAAATGTTGCCTCTTATTTCACAATCTGTAAAATTTTGCATCAATCTGAATAAAATATAGACATCAGTGTGAAGATGACTATATATCATCCCTTCCTGCAATTCACTTGTAGGATTTCCTATGTTAGAAAATTTGTGCTGAATTGTAATGCATTTCTCTGTCCCATTATTTTTTTTAAAAGCTCTGAATGGTATACAGTTCTGTCATATAGAATGTAATGGTCAACTCTCTGACACAACCATCAAGGAAACTTGGTGAAATACAACTTTATAAAAGTATAATTTGAAAACTTAAAATTTTCTTACCGAGAATCTCTGTTATTAATTACTAGTTCAAGATTTTGTGCTGATGATGAATCTATCATAGCTGTTTTCTCACTCCCCTGGAAACGCACCTTGAGTGATTTAGGAGCATAAATTGAATTTTGAATAAATTCAACGTATTTCAGCAAAGCTGCAGCAGCTGCAAGACAGTAATACCTTGGAAAGAAACAATCTCTAATGAATGCTGAATAGTGCTATTTAAATACCACAAAACCAAGTGGTGCACTAGAGAAATCACATTCACACTTCTGCTTGACAACTACTGGAATTGCACTAACCCACATATAGTGTACATATATGCATATAAATCAACTATTCATGAATGTTTGAGTCTCTGTACACTTGACATCCCACACTAAATAGCTGGTATTGTGAACATACATATTTCAGTAGTTACAGGTGACTTGAAATGAAGAGAAGACCCAAGTCACCAAATGTAACTACTTAAAAATGTTGGTACCAGGAAAACATTTGCTGAGGCTAGAGACAAAGGCAATCATAGCTGTTAAGTTGTATCTTTAAGGAAAGAATGAAAAGGAGAAAGTGGAAAGCTGTGAAAAGTCAACAACAACAACAAAATCTGTAACAGGCTTTCCATTTAAGTTTCTAGATATATCAGAAACACCGGAGGGCAAAATAAAAACACAGCACTTATGATTTTCTAACTTTTGCAACAAATCACAGACTTGAATATTAAGTATGTAAAAAGCTGTTGAAAACTTATCTGGACACACTATGCTTTTTCCTTATTTAAACATACTTTGATTGAACCTCCATGAAAATTGTGCTGAATTCAGATGCACACAATTGTTCTATGTATTCCAAACCCTTTGTTTCATTGAAGTATTTTCTTTGGATGGTTGTAAAAGTCACATTCTGTGAAGATGGGGGGAAAAGCAGATAGTGTAGAAAGTTACAGAGTTTTTCAGACTCCTCTGTTTTTCCAATTATATGTTTCCAAGAAAAATCTATCAACTGATTCAGCAATCTGTTTTTCTAGAAGTATTCACTCTAGCTTATTAGCCCAAGCAAGCCAAACTATTGTCACTCATATTTCCTCTCTACGGTAATGAGTACATATAAAAAGGACTCGTATTACTCTCCTGAGCAAATTCATGTAGGTTTTTTCTTGGCTATTGCTTGTCCTCTCAAGAACTAGCTACTCCAAATTTTGAATTTAACCCGGATTTGGCTAAAATTAATGACTTTTCGGGAAGTTATTTTCATGATAGCATCAATTCAAACTGTCGTTTCCCCTTGTCATGGTTTAAGTCCAACGGATCATTATCAAGTCTTCAATGGTAAACAAGCAATAAAGACACGCAGTTCAATGTAACTGAGTATGTGTGGTGATTTATGCAAGAAAAAGGGGAGAGAAGTCATGAAGTAGAAGAGGACTCATGAGGAAGCCATCAGCAGTGCAGACATGGAAGCAATTCAAATAGTAATTAACATAGTTTTTTTTAAAGTTCTGAGGCTTTAATACTCATAAATTACACTTACTATTTCATCTCGCCCTCTTTTACCCTGCCAGTGCTGTGTTTCCTATCCTGTGATAGATTAGCCCCATCTATTTATCAGGTTGAGAGAAAAAAAAAAAGGAGCAAAGGAAAACGCTTGATTTTTTAATCTCTGAATCTTTCCTAGGTTCAGTATTGCTCAAATTACTTCAATGCCACAAGTTCAAAACTTTTGGTTTTAATCAATAACATACTTATCTCTGTAATTGTCACGATTAGAACTAGCAGGGTTGAAGCTGCATTTAGATTATTTATCATGGTAAAATTAGGCCCAAAAAGCATAGAAAACACAAAATCTGACTGCATTTAGGGTTTTAGAAATTGTGGAAAACCCTCAGAAATCAGCAGTCACATGAAAGTGATCAACAAAAACCCTAAATACGGTATGAAACTTGAAAGCTTACCTTGAAATGTTCCGTTATCAGGCTGAACAATTTTGTGTTCCCTGCATCACAAGCAGTGTTTGACATTATTATTTCTAGTGGTGTTAAAATCTTAAGTTTAGTAATAACCTGAACAAAAAAAAAAAAAAAAATCAAAAAAATTCAGTAAAAATCCACATATAATCTAGAATATTTTTACATGATAATGAACCAGAAAAAGTATTACAGAATCTATACATTTTAAAATCACAGTTCCAATGTTGTAAATAAGGACCAAATTTTCTGCTAACTTCTACATTAATGAGTCAAATTTATCTGTATCAACAGATATACATATATGTATATATAAATATACATGAAACGGAATTTAAAAAAAAAAAAAAAAAGAAAAAAGAGGTATCTATCCCCTGTTATTTAAATGCAGAAACATGTTTATTGTCAAAGCAAGAGATAAATATCCAAAACTATATTCCATGGCTATGATGGGAGAAGGACTTATTTTCAACAGATGGCAGCTTTCTGGGCTTGCAGCTGAAAAGTTCATGGTGCTCTAGAAGATGAAGAAATGTTACAGGTCTGAATATCAGTAATCTTTTAAGATTTGGTTTAGACTTTGTTCTAACCTCCTCTTATGACATTTATTTCAGTCTTACCTTTTTCAATATGGCTCAAAATGTGCATATATAAACCAGCTTTGCTTTGATTATATTATACACACCTGCTGCAGGGATTTAAAGTACACTATATGCTTTTCTATTTGTTTACTGTATAAGAAAGGACAAACATCATTATGCATTTATAGTCATTTATATCGTCATCCACAAATTCTCAAGGGAGAAACATGAAAAAACAGATTATATTTTAAGTGCTTAGAAGTTAAGATGCAAAAGAAGGGACAGATAACAATGGAAAAGTGAACAAGCATAAAAAAATTTACACAAAATAAACCATCTAAGTGTATTGGGAGTTGGAAGAGAGTTAACGCTGCCTGTCATATCCAATAATCATTAGGAAGATTTTTTCAGGCACATCATAGTTAAACATCAGGAACTTGAAGAATTCAAAACAATGTTTCCTGCATTAATTTACATAATAATCAAAGATAAAGGGGTGCACAAGAAAAAAAATACAAGAAGCTTGATTTCAATCACTAGCAAAACACAGATAGCGACAAAAGAGCCGATCAGCAAATAAGCAATATTGTTGAAGGTGTTAGAGATTAAGATAAGCAGCTACACCATGCAGCGTATTTTGGAAAAAGCAGTTGTATACTGGGAGATATTTTTTGGGGGGGGGACTATATGATCATAAGTGGAAAATTAGGGAGATATTGGAACAAATAAAAATGACATCTTTTAGAATTGTAAGGGAGGAAAACACTGAGCAATTTGGTCATGGCCTGCCAGGTGGTTATAGAAAGGTAAACTTATCAAGTTACAACCCTGATAACAGATAAGAGAGTCCTGCTATCAGAATTTAAAGACGAAGTATGAAAGACTTAAGAGAATTAATTGTATTTTATCATTAAATTCAAGACAAAACTGGAAGTAAAGGGGTGGGGAAGGAGTTTAGGCAGCTAAAATACCTCTCAGTTTGAGAAGGATAAATTTCATGGAACAATAATACAGTACCTAACCCTGACACAGTAGAACAGGGGAGATTAGAGTATAAACACAGATATTGCTTGCTATCCCTTGTAAAATTCTAGTCTTATCATTCTTTTGATTACATGGGACTTTTTTTTCTAGGTACAAACAAATCTATTTTTCACTTTCAAACCTTTAAGTGAAGTGTTATTGAAGTTGCCACATCATCACCTGAATGTCTACATCTTCTCATGCACCCACATTTTCAAGGTGCACTTCTCATTTTGATTTTTAGTACTGTGTATTACAGAAATAGTTCTGCAGCTGTCAGGTTCAATATGTATTTATGTGTGTTAAGACCAGGATAAGCTTTAAAAGCACTGATGACCAAAAAAAATAATCACAGAATCTTAGACTGGTTTGAGTTGGAAGGGACCTTAAAGATTACCTATTTCCACATTCCCTGTCACGAGCAGGGACACCAAAATGACATAATACAACATACAGTTTAGTACATAGATTTGACAGGTGTTTATATTCTGAGTCATATCTACTTATTCTCCTAATTAAATTTAGTTTTTATTTCTCTGAATATTCTAAAGATGCTACAAGTTACATTATTTTCTAGCATGTGTAACAACAATATAACAATTAAATAAGATGTTTTATTAATGCTGGTGTTGCATAAACCAGATAGGTTACTCTCCAAATTGATGTACAGTATGCAGTGCTGGTAAGCATAATATTTGGATATAAACTGAGTGAATTTCATTTCCTGAGAAGGAATATTTATGCAACCATACAAAGCCAGCCCTACAGTTCCCCTACACACACACATATATATTTATGCAGTTCTGCTCTAGGAATTGTTTTGCCTGATGAAAAATACTTGCAAGTTCTAACAACCATGTATTGCCCAATACGCTTCAAAACAAGGCATCTCACTCTCACATAGTTTAAACACACTGTTTTTTGCAGAAAGGCTATTTTTCTTTTGCAAAACATTCTTTCTTCTTTATATAAAATCTGAAGCACAGTAAAGAAAATAGTAGTCCTTTCAACATTGGACATTTTCTAGAACTTGTTACTTTCATGTTTGAGACAATTCTTTTACAAACTAAAAATTTAATTTCCCATTAGTCATAAGCATTTTTAAGAAAGTCACAATAACTAGCCTCTAAGGGATAGGGTAAATAAGCATGCAACAATACCTTGGCATAAGTTGTATTGTCTGCAAATTGTGATAATATCACCTCAGGATTTTTTAAGTCAATACTGGCCATTCCTACTTCACCTCTAGCAAGGCCTCTTCCTTCTACTACAGCTACAATAACAGATGCAACAGTATGAGCAGAGGCTGCAGATGAGGATGTAACTGTAAAACAGTTGCACATATTCAGTTATGAGCCACTACTTTACATTCACAGAATCATACTTTGACATTCCAGGTGAAATACGTGTCTATATTCCCATATCCATGAAAAGCCCTTTCTATTTACCAACATTTTAGTTAAAAATTAAAAATCCTGGTTGTTGAACTCTACTAGCCATACCATACAGACAAGGCATACTTCCCAAAGTACATCATCATACTCTTACATTAAAAGGCTGATTGAATGCCTTCACTTAACACTCTCAGAACTAATCACATTTCTCTAAAAATAGTTTGAGTCACTATCTCTGTACTACACAAAAAAGATGGTTAGTACATGCCAAAAGACACAGCTATTATTAAACCCTTGCCATTTTAAATTTAAAATTATGCAAATCTATTACTGCTAGTTAAAATCAGGCGTATTCATTGTGGAGAGATACTGTAAGTTAATATTCCACTAAAAGCACAACTCTGATCAAGGTGGCTCAGATCTCATCAAGTTAGGGGAAACAAATGTCTTTTATATTTTTTTAATATATGTATTTCATCTGATTTTATGCTAAACTTATTAAACTATTCTAAAACATATAAATATATGCATATATCTACAGTACGCTTGAGACAATCATTCGGTTTTCATTTTGGCTAGTTTTTTAAAAAACATTTTTAGTATCTTAAAATTGGCTTGGCTTATTTTCTCAAATACCATCACAAATATCAGAGATGAGGTATCATCTGTAATCAGAATTTGGAAGCTACTGGGGGGAAAATGAGCTGACCCTCCCACTTCTCCCCTAATTCCCTCTGGGTGCCTGCCATCACATATCTTTGTAACAATATGTCTTAATGATCATTAATAGAGTCCCCATACACCAAATTATGCTCCACTATTTAAGAAGCACTGCTCTTAAGTGCTAAGTTATAGTATTTCCTAAATATGACGTTTAACTAATGGGGTAATGTCAGTTTAATTTGGTGTACTGAATTTCCTTTAATCTATGAAAGACCAATAGTATGTATACAGTGCTTTTTCTATTATCTCAGGTAATTTTTGTTCCATGTTTGCAAAATGGTATTGCATTCTTCCAAATTCTACTGAAGAAGCTACTAACTACATTTTGTTCAGAAATCTGCAACCAAATATTGTGAGACTGTGCTATTCAAATGAGTAAATGTGTAACTTGCTGAGCAATACTGAAGTAATTACCATACTATGAGAAGCAACATCTACATAAACTTTGGTATAACTTCTCAGACAAACTGGAAAAACCTTTCATGATCTCAATCTTCTTAACTTCCAGCTGAAAGCCAACCGAAACCTTACAATAGCTAAATTGAACAGATTCTTCATTTAATGCTTCTTGAATTCACTTAAATATTCAGAAGAGATGCCATTATTAAGTAACCATTAAGTCTAAAGTATTAAAAATAAGAAGATACTTGCATATACAAAGCATGTCCCATTTACACTTTCAAAACCATCTAAACAGTACTGGATTTTGATAGCATAGATGCATTTACTGTTCTGAAACACCAATAAACTCTACCTGCTTCGTAGTGATGATTTACATTCTTTTCCACCATTACCTTCTCTTGTTCCTCACAGAATTTGCTCTCAAAAAGCAATGGAACAAGAGTATACTCTCCAAACAGAAGAATCCTGCTGAGAAGGCATAATACACCAAACTAGCCATTTTCTTCTAAATTAACTCAATTTGTATGACAAGAATCAAAACGAATCCTACCAGAAATCTGGATGGGCAAGATCAGAATTAGGGTTTATCTAAGAATTTTAGACTGAAAGGCTGTTTGAACTGCAACTGGCTACCACCCGAGACAAATATTTGATCCTGCACACAGTCAAGTCTGAAACTTCATTTGTTCTACCTATGTTCTGGAGGCCATAAGATGTCAGCAACAGCATTCACATAAAATTTCACCTGAGCCCTGCTGAAAATGTAACTGTTATTCTGAGTCTTCTACTCAGAACACCTGGCCCATCATTATCAGCTGATCACAGTATTAACTCTTCTTTTAAAAGCAACTAAAAGGGGAAGATAAGGATTTTTAGATTAGGTATGGTAATTACACAAATTTTATTCGGAAGATGGTTAGTTTTTCAGTTTGTCACACTAAAAAAAAAAAAAAAAAAAAAAAACAAACAATACAGTGACCAGCTGATGTTCTTCAGAAAGTAATATTCTAGATATTCTGTCTTCAATACAGATCAGTGAAAGATTGATCAAGGAATGTCACATACAACACAACAAGCACAAACAAGTATTTAGACACACGTGCACAAACACAGAACCATAGAATCGTTGAGGCTGGAAAAGACCTTTAAGATTATTGAGTCCAACTGCTAACCTAGCACTGCCAAGTCCACCGCTAAACCATGTTCCTCAGCGCCACATGCATACATCTTTTAAATACCTCCAGGGATGGTGACTCAACCACTTCTCTGGGCAGCCCATTCCAGCGCTTGACAACCCTTTCGGTGAAGAAATTTTTCCTAATATCCAATCTAAACCTCCCCTGGCACAACTTGAGGCCATTTCCTCTTGTCCTATCGCTTGTTACTTGGGAGAAGAGACTGACCCCACCTCACTACAATCTGCTTTCAGGTAGCTGTCAAGAGCAACCAAAGGTCCCCCCTGAGCCTCCTTTTCTCCAGGCTAAACAACATACATGTAAAATCAACAGAAACTGAAGATGTGGGTTTGTTTCACTAAGTTGCATAAAGTCTAGAGAAATTTGCTCTGTGGGTTTCAACATCATAGTTAATCCAGTTTCCCAAATCCTGGAGTAGGCACAAAAGAAACTGTGGATCACAACAGCTTTTGGTAATTACAAACTTCATGTGACTTACATTTTGCAAAATGATAATTCAATTCAGTAGCAAGTGGAAAGCCAATTTGTATTCTTACCAGGAACAGATAAGTTCTTAAAAATAAATTTTAAAATAATGTGCTTCAGATAACTACCATTAAATGACTTTAAGAACACTAAATATTGAACTGATAATGATTAGTCTGAATGTGAAAGAGCTTCAAATCCCATTCCTTCTGCACTACTAGAGCACACATACATATAACATGGCATAAGGCATCATTACCCTGTAACACAACTTTGGTCGTAAGAAGCACTGGAAAATGTACACCCTAAGAACTACTGTGTAGGTGTTCTTCTGAGGAACTACTGTTCTACACCTTTGAAGATGCCAAAATAAAATGCATAAAACTTGCATTAAGAAATTGCGACTGACATCATGACGTGTGATGTACAATGCATTACAAGGCTAGAAAGAAACCCTAATTAGAAATGTGCATAAATTTTGGCTCTGCAGTCGCCACACAAACCAACATGTCCACAAAAATAATACAATTTTGGACAACTTGGAAAAAGCCTGAATTCTAACTACACTCATAATTTATAAATTAATGCAAAGTAAGTGACAAGAGATTGCAACACCAAAATATCTACCCAGTTTCTAGAACAGTATTTTCCCCTATGGGTGCATCTTTCATAGGCAAGTATCTCCTGTAGTACAAAACACATTAAGTTTTGTGTTTTAAATATATTTCATTATCTTACTGTATCACAATAAAAAATAAAGGATGATTAATAAAATAATGTTATAAATGTAAGTAGGACTATTTCCTTTAAGAGCTGTTAATCTTACCTGAATATCCCATAAGAGGGGTATGGCTTCTGCAAACAGATTTACTGGAAGAGAGGGGTGTTTTTCCTATACATGTGCTATTCAGGCCTCGCACAGAAGAACTCGTGAGATTCAATGTGCTAGCATTTTCTACACAAGAACTTTTGTCCCCAAAATATGATTCTGAGGGGAGGGGGAAAAAAATTAAGTTTTGAAAACCAGACATATTAAATTGTATATCATTTAACTGAAAAAAAAAAAAAAAACAAAACAGTTTTTATTCAGAAAGCAATATATAAATTATACATCATAGAAAATTTTATTTTTCTTACTAGAGATATGCAAGCACTAACCTTTAATGTCATTCTACAAAAAACTATCCCAAATGATAAAATGAAATAAAAATCAGTCTGATTTGAAAACAAGCTTGTATCAAGATGGTTATTTTCCACAATAACATTACATGCAGCGCCAATAAAAATCTTTGTTTACATTCTTGGACTGAAATAATACAACAGAAGTCACTTTACAATGCATAATTTCATAATCTAATTAATTATAGATTTATGAAAGAATGCTCTGTCAGCTCTATTTCACATTTGCCTATCAGTTTTAAAATCCGTATCTGAAGCTGCACGTTTATGACTTAGGTTTTTTTTAAAGCTGTGCATTCTTTTTTTAAAAAAGGACAATAAAAGAAAACAAAAAACCATGCTCAAGAAATCCTCCACTTGAAAATGTTCTCCCTTTGTACTTATAGTGTTCAACTCTCAGAAATCATACAATGATCTGGGAAGTGTTTGCTATCAGCTCTCTTTTACACACGTATCTTAAGATTTATCTACATTAAGACCTGCAAAATTTCTTTTTCTCAGATCATTCTTTAGTTTCAATAAATTTACGTACTTTACTTATTTTCAGTTCTCTTGACTAAAACAAGATCACATCCTTAATCTAGCTTGGATAATTGCTTTTTAAGATTAAAAAAAAAAAAATAAATGTAAACAGTTTTTCCACTTTAAATTTACAAAATTCCAGGTATTAAGAAACATGCAAATCCAAACATTTCTGTTCCTCCTAGTACATTAAAAATTGATCTACAAGACAAAATACTTCAGTATTGTTCTCAGATGACTCATTAACTGCATAACATTTTCTTATGATTAGTACAAAAATATTTACAGCACTGGTTTGTGTTTGGTGGTAGGGAGCAGGTGTTTGTTTTTTAAAATCTTACAAAACTGTGACAGTGGAAAAAAACCCACATTATTAGTTCAGACCGAAATTTTTATTAAAAGACTGGCAAGATCAGCACTGCAATGCACACAGATGATTTTTAAAAATAACATTCACTTAGATTTTGGCTTAAGTTCACTCAGAAATTTGGCAGAGAAGACTTTGTTATCTCAGAATGCATCGAACCTGGTATAACATGGAGAAAAATGTGATTTTAAAGACCAGATGAAACAAACCACCTGTAGATACTTTTTAAAACCAACATTTAACAGTAAGTTATGTCCTACTCAAATTAGCATTCTAAATTTTGTTTGGTTGTTGGGTTTTTTTAGGATTACTCATCACATACGTTACACAAAACCATGTTACTTACTTTCTCACTTTATGCATAATGGAGATGTATGTACTTCAGAATGCATTTCATCAAGTGTTAAGATAATTTCTAAGTATTTTTATAGTTTTCCGACTGTAAAAAATTCCAATTTGAACCATTTTTTTCTGCCTGCTAGGATACAGGCTTTGGTAGTAAGATCAAGACTTATGAACTGGTTGATGCACACGTTCACTATGCAGGACCTGTTGAGGGGTCTCGTCCTTAGGCGGGGGGGGGGGGGGGGGGGGGCGGGGAGCCAAAAGACTAGCGTTAACAGCAACTTTACATAAAGGATAGCAAACAGCAGTGTTGCACTGTAGGACCACAACATCCTTGAAACACATCAAGGATAACAGCACTTCAAACTACTTCAGTCGCCAAGCCAAAAAAAAACCACCAAACCAAAACCATCCAAACAACAAAAAAACCCCTCAAAACAACAAAAGCAACCAACCAACCCAAACGAACAAACAAACAAACAAACAAAAAAAAAACAAAATAAACAAACAAACAAAAAAAAAAAAAAAAAACAGAAAAAGCGCCAACCAATCAAAAAAACAAACCCAAACCCAAAAACCAACTGCATGTAGTTCAGGTCTCTGTAAAGCAAACATTGTGTTGCAATTCAAACCAGTTTATTGACTCCAACAGGGAACTCAGACACTGCTATCTAAAAAGCCTACATAAAGAAAATAATATTAACGAAGTGCGAGGGACGATTATCATTGTTCTTACGGGCTGAACAACCAACCAACCAACCAAAAAAAAAAGAGGTCGCCAAGACAGAGATGCTGCTGTCCCCTTCTCAGTAGAAGTACGGCTTGTAACAGCTCCTTTGAAGCCTGACCCAACCAAAGAGCGCAGGAATATAAAAGTAAGGCATAAAGTTCCGGACAGAGATGGTAACGCGCACCCCCACCTCCTCTTTCGGGAACCGGCGGCTTCACCCTGCTACCACATACAGCCCGGCTGGGAGCCAGGCCTTCCCCGCTGGAGCTACCCGGCCTCGCCCCGCCGCTGGAAAAGTCGCCGGTGCTGTCCGCCGTGCTGCGCGGCGTCTGCAGTAGCCCAAGGGTATAGCGGGGCGTCTGCTCCACTCGCCCGCCCAGCCCCGACGTGGAAGAGCTGCGGCCCGTATAGGACCCTGAGGCGGCCGCCTGCCTACACGCGTTCGCCTTACTGCTCGCCTTCGACATCGCCGCCTCAGCCCAGAACAGGAACCGCGTGAGGGGCGAAGACTATCGCCACGCCGCCAGCACCGCCTCCCCTCAAAATGGCGGCAAGCGCGCCGTCACCCTCACCCCGTGCATGAGCGCGTCCCGCACGAGCGCCGCGGCTGCGCTCGCGCCCGGACAGCGGCAGAGCCGCGCCCCCCCGCCCCGTGCCCAGAGGGGGTGCTGGTGTTAAATAAAAAAAAAAAAAAAAAAAGCTTAAAGCTGCAGTTACCAGTACAGCTATAAATGATACCAGAGCAAACTGAGTTGCTGGGCATGCAACAAGTTTCATTATAAATATGCAATTACAGACAATAAAAGGGTGACAGGAACGCAAAGGTACGGTCTGCGATGCTCTTTAAAACAGAAGTAAAGCATTTAAACACAATTTGTTCCACATACATTCTTCGACATTCTGAAATTTTAGCAGGAGCTTCACAGATGTTTTCTCCCTGATCAAGAGTTTAAATACCGAAAAATCATAAAGCTTGCTCACATCTAAATTTGTCTGAAATGTATATCCTTCTATACATGTTTTACAACACTATAACACTGATTTGTATATTAGCATGTAATATACACCACTAAAACTGTTTCAACTAACATGTTGACTAGACAACATTTTGTCTCTGGATTTTTATACATCTGCATTAAAAACCACTCCAAACTGAAGCCAGCCCTTACTAGGCCACAACTCTTCATGGACAGTTGTTGTCTGACGGTTATTCAGCTTCACAATATAAATCCTACCAGTTGCAGCTCTTCAGCTGACATCTGAAAGCTGACATCCTAGTTCAGATCAGGCATGTGCTCTCTCAGCACTAAGCATCATCAGTCAGACAGCTTTAAGAATTTGAGCATCAGAAACTTAATTTCCACCGCAGAGCTAACGATGAAAGACAGCAGGTGCCAATTCCGGTTACTACCACTGTTCTGAATAACAGGTCCTACACCGAACCTCCCATGTGCATTTAGACTCATGAAGCCGGTGTTAGATTTCCTATTCTCTGACAGAAATCCAAGTGTACAGCAAGAAATGCAGAAACAAAAGCAATGTCCATCTTCCACCTTCCTTCCTTTCTTATGGTCACAAATCATAAGGCTGAATTTGCCTAACCAAACTGTCTCAAAAAAAAACAAAAGGAATCATCTTTGGTAAGAAACCACGGACCTCTGGACTTGACCAAAAGGTAACAGAATGGCTATTGATTTCCTCCCTCAACCCGATTTTCTTTTAATAAACATATCTATAGACACACAATTTTATGTACCGGAATTATTAATTATTCTTTTGCAAATTCTCATACAGCATCTTGCAAAATTTATTGCTGGGAATGTTGGCTACGCTACAGTACTTAAGATCAAGTACTAAGATAATGTCAAGATCTTCCCATATAAAGGTTTCCATGGGAAAAAAAAAAACTTATAAAAGTACAAATTTCTGAAAACCTTTAATAAAGGACATGTAACTGAAGACTGAGAACAGTAGATTAATTACTGCAAAGTTTCTAACTACATAAACTCAGAAAATCTGATCAGTACTTTTAACAAAACAGAGGTAGACAGTAACAAAGTATTCTGCACGAAAATGACATAAGTCTTAACATAGACACACCGGGCAACTAATTTTTTTTCACAGTACATTTAACAGAAAATATGATTTTGTTTGCATAAGAAAAATTGTGATGACTTTTTCTAAAAATACAGTATTTTGAAAAAATGATTTAAAGAATAGAAGAATATTCTTAAGAAGTTTTTATTTTGTGCACATACTCACCCAGTTTTTAACCTATAATCTTGTAAGATCTTCACAAATCACAGCTGACTTAGGAAATTAAGTTGACCAGACCTTCTTCAGAGAAAAACTCCAATACCATTAGTAGGATTTCAGCCTACAGTGAAGTGTTCTACACTGTCATGCAGTTATCACCCACATATTAATTCCCAGGGTGCCTCAGCCTAGACTAGACTAGAAATTCTGAAGAGAATGCTATTTTGTTTGCACAACATGGAAAAAACTGCAAATTCCTATGTACCAAACAGTGCTTCCTTAGATGAAAAGAAGTTGCACTTGCAAAGGCAACCTGAAATTAGAAAAAATTATTTTAAACTTTTCTGTTAAACTTTACAGTTAGATAAACCCCGATCAGTGCTCTGATTCCCTTATGCTCAACACAAAGCCTACTGTAACTTTTTTCCAAACCTTGAAAAATAAATTAATTCCAAGCTTTGACCAAAGAATTCAATAGGCAACTGGGCAGCTAAAGAGAGTAGGGTTTTTACCTTATCTAAAAGCCTGCAGAGAAGGGTTAAAAAAATAATTAGAAATACTCAAGCATTCAAATACACATTCTCCCTTTGAAATTCTCTACAAGTAAAAGCCTACCAAAAAGTTACTTTGTCCAATTCTAGTTTACTCTCTACTAACACAAATAGGCTGGATAAATCTAACCAGCTGTCTTTTAAAACTGTTTTAAACAACTTTAGACCTTCCTTAAGCATAAGTACAGAGATTATCAAAGACTTCCTCCCCTTCACAATTACCTTTTACTCTGTATTTCAACTGGAATATCAGTCAATCTCAGCCAGGGAGTGTGGAATGTAAATTAAGAGGCAATTTTAGGACTTCTGTGAAGACAAAGAGGACTTCATCCTTCAGAGAACAAGTATTTTCCATGACTAGTTTTATTCTCAATTACACCATAATCAAGTGTTGGCAATTATTGTTTTAAAAGCTACCAAAGCAGGATTTCAACCAGCCACAAATTTAGGATCACCTCTATATTGTTACAAGTCACTGTCCTATAGAGACCTTCTCTAGAATTCTTAGCGTTAGCAAGGTATGCTCCATCTCGAGTATCAGTGAAATTTTGTCTAAGGGACTCATCAATAAATGAAGACATTTATATACTTTATGAAACGCTAATTTTTGTTTTCACTGGTATCAATTACTATCATAAGAAAAAGCTTTTTTTCTCAGTATATAAAAGTGATGGCAAACGTGAACAGGAAGAATTAAATACACAAGTGTGTGGCATTAAATGCATGGCTTAAGGAGGGCTTTGGGGTTCTTTTTCATATTCTTTTAAAGTGCTTTGTGTAATCCAAGATCAAAACATGCTTGTGTAAAGACAGATGCTAACATGGTTGATATCACAAGAATACAAAAATTAAGCATTCACACTGTTGCTTTGACTTGAATATTAAAAAAAAAATGCAAAGGCCCATATATTTAGATACAGAAATGTTTCTACATCTCTTATATACAAGCAAAGAACATGTTACACTCAGATTATTAGAGCCAGACTGTTCTGATACAGTTTACAAAGTGACAATGCCCACAATAAAGCTATTGCTTTACTTTTGTAGTGTAAACACATCTCAAAGAACAATATGCTAACAGTTTCAGAGATGAGATTACTTAAATCATTAAAACCAAAGCAACTGGGCATATCAACCTATTGTCTCTATGAAGCTTAGCTCACAAGCTCAGGCTGTACATTTATTCTTCTAAGGACTTCTTCTGGCATACAAAAGACAGGACTGACAGCCTTAATTTGTTCTTCTCCTAATAAAGACAGTCCAGCAATTCCAAATAAGGTGTGAAATGGATCCACCTGGAAGAAGAAAGAAAGTTTGCATCTGTTTCCAAAAGTCAGTCAACTTTTCATTTGTATGAAATGAAGCTTTTGTTTGCTACCAAGAGAACTGCGTATCTCCATGGCTAGAGAAGACAACACAACTTAACAAACTTGCATTTGTGCTGATGTGCGTTGACAGGCAAGATAATTTCCACTGCATGCATTTATGATACTATGCTTTACTCAGAGATGCTTGTTGACTGTCTACTGCTAAGATGACTTTTGACTCTGAATTTGGCAGGAAGCACTCACATGTCTCCATTAGCATGCAATTTCATAGGGTAGCAGAAGCAAAGATAATCAATATTTTTGAAGTAAATTTGATCATCTACAAGTACCACTTTAATAAATTCCTCATTTTAGCTTCAGCAACATTATAATGCTCTTTACTGGTCTCTGAATACAGAGCTGTGCTGTAAAATCTTGAGGGGGCAGAAGCAACCTACTGTGCTAGAAAACTGAAAGGAAAAAATAACAAGGAAGAAAACGCCCAGAAGAGACTGAAGCAAGTTATTTCACTGCATGAACCTTCCCTAAGAGCACATATCACCACATACGATAGACTATGAAGTCTCATGAAATAAGCGTCCTGCCAGTGTGGTTAATTAGCCATTCTACAAAATCCTATCCAAAAGTATCTCTGCTGTCTGGTGCAGCATACCTCCTGTTTGCATTAGTGGAACTTCTGGATCTTATTGCAAAGGTTCTATACCACAGTAAACTATGCTGAATTAGCATGTTATAGCCTTATACAGGATCTCCAACCACTGACCACAGCCTAGAAGGTTCAAACTACACTAGCATAGCAAGTCTTGCTCCTCAGTGGTTTGGCAACCACATTACAGGTGTGGTCAAAGCTCAGACATATGTTTACTTGCTCCTTCCCAGAATGAGTATGTGGCCATTAGAGAAGGGGTAAAATAAATAAGTACGTAGCAAAATAATAATAATGAACAGTACACTTCAGCAATGGCAAGACAGAATTTCCTTGTACTGATGAACAGGCCCAGAAGGGAAGATAGTCCCCAATGGGAAGAGTGCAAATGAAGTTACAGATTCAACCTCTTGATGAACAGTATGTGTTCATGGAAACTTGGATCCCTAGAAGATGTATCTACTGCTATATTGCCCGCTCCTTTCTGCAATGTTCTTTAAAGCAAGTAAAAAAGGAAGAAGCTACTGAATTACAACTGAAAGCTAACAAGCACAGCTACTAAGTTATCAAGAACTAGCTGCTTGGAACTTCAAAAAAGATGACAGAGCTCTTACTGTCAAGTGGTTCAAAACCTGAAATACAATCACTATTTCAAATCAAAAGACCAGAACCTAGAACTAATTTAAAAAAAATCCCAAGATCCCCCCTCCCCGCAAAATAAACAAGCAAACCCTCCCAAAACCACAAAAAAGCCCCAAAACAACAACAAAAAATCCAACAAACCAACAAACAAAAAGCAAAAAAACACACCAAAAAAAAACGAAACAGCCTCCCAAAACAACAAGGTCTGTTACGAATGAGTTTCTGCAGGAACAAATCAAAAGCCTGTAGGCATCAACGTTTCTATGGCAGTGCCCACTTCCACAATAGATGACAGGTGAAAATAATACAAAATGACCACTAATGTAATATGCAAAAACTCTCCTAAAGGTGCCTGCATTAGATATAGAGGAAAGGCTCTGCAAAGTTGCTCTTCTAGCAAGAGCTCAGGATTGATGTCAAAGCCAGAAAAGCATTAAGACTAAGTGTTAGGCTTTTCTTGGAGAATTCCAAAAAGAGAGAAGGCTTTCCTGTGAGCTCCTTAGAAACCGAAAAACCTTCCCATTTTCAGAACACTAAAACACGTGATCAACCAAGTGATACAGCAAAGTAAAGAGATTTCTCCCCCTCCCCCAAGTGGGAACAATGTACCAGCTTGCAAAGCAATAGAAAGATACTTCAGCTAATGCATTTGTGGAGAAAGGAGAAGACAGGGTCAGCTGCAAGAAAAAAAGCTAAGACCTCCCCCTGACTGTTGACAAATAAGCAGCCAAGTGTTCTACAGGAATTGCATTGAGGTCTCATAATACTTTTAATTTTATCTGTCTGGCACCCTTGAAACATACAAACTTGATTTGCTATTTTATCTGGACAATCTCAGTTATTTTCGCTTGAAACCAGAGACAACAGACCAGCTAAACCATTAATTGCTCTCTGAACCAAGCAGAAAATCCATACACCAGCCTCTTCATAATGTTATCACAAAAGCTGCGTCCTCCCTCATCTATGTAATGCCAATGAGAGGATATATTCAGCGGCTGGGCAGGCACAGAACAGAAGTTAGCATATAAGGATTCTTAATAAAAAACTGGGACTTACTTAGATCAGGCAAAACCACCAAGAGAGTTGAAGACTACTTAACTTGAACTGGAATCCAGCTTGCATATCATTTTACAAAACAAAACAACCCCTGAAAAAAACCCACACATCCCCAGAAAACCCCCCACCAAACATAGCATTTCTACAGACATCTTCCAAGTGGTCTTGTGAGAAAAGATTTGTGGGGTATGTGTTATGGGAACCAAAACAGAATTTGTAAGGAACAGCAACTGACTTCAGTGGGGGATACTACAGTTCAAGTGCAATATAAAATATGTGCTCCCCAAGCAAGCCTTCGAAAGCACCTCTACCCTATATCTTTCCTTTAAAGTAAACTGCAGGCTCTGCAAAACACACCTGAATCACAAGTTGAGTTACACGCAAAGGAGAAAACTAACTTTTTCAGTTGAAATTTTCAATTAGGTACATTTTATTTAATAAAGGATTATTTACCATATCTCCTGGTCTGTCAGCAAATCCTCCAGTCTCCTCATCCTGGCAAGCCAATATAAAGCAGCGCAGTTTCTCTCTGTCAATCCAGTGTAACCTACCAATCATCTTCAAAGATGCGAGCACCCACCATGAATAACATACATCAGGTAACTGGCAAGCAGAGAAGCAGATTATTATTTCATTTTGTTTTAAACATGACATTGCAAATTTTATTGGTGATTTTGCAAATTACTAGGTGTGCTCTCATAATACTGTTGCAGAAAAACAACACTTAAAGAGTTTCTTTGGAGTAAAAGAGAAGAAAGTTCCTGGTTGCAGTCTCTTTTCAGAGGACTTCCCTTTTTCAGGAAGGGGAAGTCTCTTTTTCAATCCTCTCCCCTTCTTCAACAAAACCATAAGAATGTGATTTTGAAACAGCCTCCACTCCACCTTCAGTGGGAGAAGCTAAAAAAAAAAAAAAAATCACAGTGCCTTTTTCAGGAGTAAGTACAAAGAACTTTGCATCAACTAGTTCAACGTTTTGGGTTTTTTTTTAAATCTGTTGGTTGGTTATCTATTTGCCAGTGGAGATTATTCTAGGCTACATGTTTCCCAGTGTGATGTGGAATTACACTACTACACTCAGGATTTACATCCAGTAAACCAGTAATTTTTGTACAAATCATACAGGAGAGATCATTCCCAATGTCAGAAAATATTCAGGTCCTGATTTAACAGGATACTGGTTCAAGTGGTCAGCAAGACAGACTTCAGCATGTGTACTTCCCTAAATAGAGGACTCAAACTAAGCATAGCTGAAGACTGCCTGACAAGTATTAGTGACAAAATGAAGAATCAAAACAAAGGTCTGACTTCTTTGAAAATTTTACTAAATATTTCACAGAAGTCATGACATTTTCCAGAAGTACCTCAGCTTTAGACAAAATAAACTCTATTGAGGTTTGAACAAACAAAATAAACCATCTAATACCTTCTCTGGTCGTCCGTTGAGACCTCCAGAAGGTAACTGACGTTCACAAAGCCACCAGCCCAGCAAGTCAACATTTATTTGATGCAACTGGTCTGTTATAGCCAGAAATCCTGTGCAACAATAGATCTAAAATTACAGACATAAATTTTTTTGTGTATTTAAAAACTAAGTATAGTTTAGCAGACTAAATGCAGGAAGATCTCAAAGCACAAATACAGTCACGCAAACACAATACAAAATAAGCACACATTTCAACTTCTAGTTTCACATGAGTTTTACTTTTCCATTAGAAAAGTATGTTATTGTTACAGTTGCTTTTGTATAAAATTACCAGTTATACAATGTAACTATAGAACAGTATGATCTTAGTAATATCACACACTAATCCAAGGTTTAGAAAAAGATCCTAAAAGATCAGGCAGAGCCATACAGTTTTATTTTAAAAACAGACTCTCAAGCCAGAGTACTCAAACTGATTTCTGCAGGCTGGATACGGCCTTTATGAAAACTTTGCATCCAGCCTATGGTTTGTTCCTGTATGTGCCTCTTACCCTAAGGCTTGTGGAGAGCAAACTAAAGACCAAATGAATTCTCTAGCAGAAACAGATTAACCCTGATCATTAACTACCCTGTCAATCCCACATATATCTAGTTATGTCAGGGTTACTTTCAATGTGCCATGTAATATATGTGCATTGATTAACCCTGTTTATTTTTTCCTGGGAAATAACATTTATAGTACAACAGCATACTCCAGTCACATTTCATGCAGTCACTAAGAAAGCAGCTAAACACAAACTGGAAGAAACCACAATATCAACCGAAGCCTGCTCATAATCACCTTTTCCTAATAAAACACACCCCCAAAAAGACAAAAAAAAAAAAAAAAAAACCACAACAGCAAAAGCACACATCAACAGGGATGAGCCTATCCAAGAATACTGCAAAATAAATGTGTTATTCCCAGAAAACTTTTGAACTACTGTGCAGGTGAAGGAGTTGCCCTTTGCAGCATTTTAATAAGCATGTGAATATATACAATAAACCTAATCCTCCAAGGAAATGCCAGCTGCAAATAGAGTGGGTTCAGCTACTTCATTTGATCTCCTTGAACACTAGAACATAGTCCAGACATTTAGACCATATGGGCAATGCTACTGTACATAAAACTCATAAGATAAAGTACATGTACCAGATTTAATTTTTTTTTCCCCAATTTAAAGAAAATGGGGTAAAAACCCAACACTTTTTCCTCAACAAAATACCTCTAGTATTTACATATGCTGAGGTGAATCCTGGCTATGGCATTGCTCACCATAATTATGCAAAATAAACAGGTGATTGTAACAGCATTCAAATATTTTATTAGAAGTTGATTTCTATTAATAAATTCAGGTTAAGTGCAATTATCCCTTCCATGAAAAAAATAAAAATAGGAAAGGTAGTTTTTATGTAAACTTTCTGATAGAATAAGTCATTGAGATTCTCTTCCCTTGAAAGATTCCTTAATGTGTTCCAATTATACTTCTGCATTCTCTTTTCAACTAGATTTTATTTTAGCATTTTTCAGAATTCACTGTCACCGGTAAAACATTCTTTAGTGCCTACAACAAAACATGATAAATGTTCCCATGCCTGAACTAGGCATCTCACCTTAAAACTGACTTCCCTCAAATAATTAAGCAAACCTTCCCTTTAGAAGGTACGAGTCTTACTTTTATTTGACTTCATCAGATGAAAAATATCAAAAATATTATACGATTGACCTTTACATTTCATTATGATTTGTGTCAGACACAGTGACAGATCTTATTCAATGTCCCCATTAATATCCATTTCAAATTCTCTAAAAATCCTCTTGTGAACTATTCCAACTTCACTATGTGAAGACTGAAATACAGTCTTAAAAATTGTTCTCTTATGATCTTTTTTTTTTTCCCAGACTATAAACTCGTGAGTCTCTACTCATCTTCTCAGATTTATCTACCTATTTGTTCATTTATTTCACCTAAGGTACTAGAATCAGGCATTTGGGAAACAAGAAAGGTATATTAATCGACATAACTGATAAATATTGTAAAGAAACATACATAGGCAGTATGTGATGTTTGCTAATTTAAAATATCTCCATATAAAGAAAAACTCACCTGTCCTGCATGTGATTCAGAACCTGGTCTACAACCAAATCCTCCATCAAAGTTCATACAGGACAAAACGAATTCTACTGCTTTCCCCACATCAATAGCATCCAGCTTTCCCTGCAAGTCAGAAAAGCAGCTAATGAACTTTGTATTCTAGCAAGCTCATTAACTACAGAAAGTTCAGCAGTACCAAAGAGAAGATTCTGTAGTTGTGCAAGTAATGATATAGGACTTACCAGAAGTGCAAGAGTTGCTGCAGCACAGAAGGAAAACCTTGTATCTATTTCTCCTAGAACGTGGGGGTAGGGAATGAAATAAGAGGATTTTAATTACCAATAACAAAAAGACATTTAAATCACCACTGAAATTATGGAACAAAATGTTAAAATACTAGCCAAAAACTGCCCCTGTACTGTTGCCTTTTCCAGTCCATGAATTATTTCCTCAGTGATTTAGAAAGTGTACATTACAATTCAAGTGTTCTGTATGTTTATCACACATAAAAGTGAACAACTCATTTTGAACTGATGTATAGTCAGATATATATCCAAATCAATTCACCCAGTGATAATTTACAAGTAACTACATAATTTTAGAGTTTATCTGTAGCGCTCTACTAGATAACTGCAGAGCAGTGGACTCGGAAATACTCAAGACACAACTCTTGATCTGCATTAAATCCAGGCAGAAACAGAATCTATTTTTGGTTGTAGAGGAAGACTGATGAAAGTTGCAAGTTTTCTTTTGCATACTTGTATCTGGAAGCTAAACCAAAAATGCCACACCTACAGCAGAATGATTGCCCAGCAATTCTGTACTGATACAGCTCTCTTAGCACAAACTCCAAGCAATTAATACTTGAAGTCAAGATTTAATATTGAAGCCAGCTGTAAACATTCTTTTTTTTTGGTCAAAGTGATACAAGACTTTTGCCAAAAGTCCAGTCTTAAACATATAAAACAAACACGTGCTGTTCTGTACTACATCAGGTATCACACTCCTTCAGTTGTGCTGTAACTGCCTTTCAGAAATAATGTAAATCCATTGTGCATTCAGTACATTTGTTTCAATACTTTAACAAAAAGGATGCAGCAAACTACGAACCATCTTAACACATAGAGTAATGGCTACTTTTACAGCAGCTTACATATACTGCCCTGATCTTGATTGCTGAATTTTACCAGAATATTAACATGAGTGATATGCAATAGATTTTACTAAAATTTAAGCGTTCCATGGGGATAAGTATATTTAGAGTGACTAAATATTTATGCTACAGCTGAAACATACCATCTCTGTTCATAAAGAACTTGTGTGCAGAAACAAAATCAGTATTAGGAAGTTCATGAGAACAAAACCAGTTTTTCTCATTCACATATAGTGAAAGATCCTTTCACAGCTGTCATTGGAAAAAGATTGTAACTGACTATCATTAAGTAGCAAGCATAAAACTTTCCTTATGGAATAGCATATCTAGTATATCAAAGTACTGTCCAGTTACAAATGGCCACAAGCTTTCTTCTTTAAGAGCTGGACAATTTATTTTTAACACAAGAATAGAATTGAAGTTTAGAATATTTATTAAAGGAATAAACCACAACTCTCTCCTTCACCACACCTCTTTTTTCATAATTGATAAAGTAAGCGTTCACATACAATACATAAGCAAAAAGACCATCTAAGGAAACTTAAGTTCACACAATTACACATGTCGACCTAGTCACTAAATTTTAAATATCTAAAAATTACCCCATTTGTCTCCAGCAAACGATCCATCTTCTTTTTGCAAGTTCTGTATATATTCAACTATTTTATTTATATCAACAACATGGAGACTATCATATAAGATAAGAATCTGAAAAAAAGCGAGGCAAAATTTTAAAAAATCAATTAAAAAATATATAAATTCTTAGATTTATAAGAGACTTTATTTAATTGACTGTGAACACTATTTTGAAAGGTTTATTAAAATAAATTTTCATTTACTACAGCTCATCTATCTGTATAAAAACTTTAAGAAATTCTCAAATGAAAATATAGGCAATTCAAGCTGAACTCTTTCATGCTTTGTTATTTTCCAACTTCCAGCTCTCCTTTCAAAAGCGTATTCAGGTTTATTTGTTTTTATGTTAGCATTACGTAGAACAGAGATTTGATTATGGTTAGATTTTGTAATGGGATAATGACATCAACTTAAAAATCTGTAGTGTGTGCACTGCTGCTACTTGGATATGTGCAAGTTAAACAGCTAGTTACTAATACCACTTACAGTCCAAGCCTTTCAGCAATGATTAGTTTCAAATTATAAGATTTTTATTTACATACAATTTTTAAACATAATGAGCAGAACCAAATTGCAAAAATTTAAGAAAAAGTATGAACATATGCCTAGACACAAACTGTACAGTCAATATATTCTTGAAGAAAAATAAAGGTCATAGTAGGGAATACAAAGCTTTCTGAGCTAGCACTGATTTGAACCAGTAAAGCCACATGACACAATGTCATGCAAAACTAACAATACTGTTTCTGAGCCCCAGCTGCCTTCGTGCTTTTACTCATAACTTGCATAATCTGTAAAGAGAGTAATTAAGAATTTATTATAAATAGCGTAATAGAAATAACAGTTGTAACAAAGCAATATTATAGTGCCAATGCTGAAAAATACCAACAACTATGACTTTGAGCACCTCGAGTTAGCTGGCATCTTTCAACTGTTAAATTTTATCTAAATCTTATGGAAATGCAAAAAAGAATGTACAACTTCAACAGAAAACATATATAATCATAGTATACTCCTTAAAAAGCAAATCTGAACAAATTATTATTAATTGCGATCAACAGAAGATGTAACATGACCCTTTAAAAATTCTGGATATGTAGATAGGACTCAACAGTGTTTGTGCACTAAGAACACAGATGCTCACTAAGATATGCTAATTAAGTTTACCACAAAAATTTTATGTTAGTAGTTCCTAACACTTTTCAACTTCACACATCTAGAGCTGCATTCAGTTGACATGAAAATATCTCCTAGTAACATCAAGTATTTATTTAAGAACGAACATCTTTAATGTAAACAATCTCAAATTGTACCCCATTCTCCTTATACTGGATTAGAATTTGTGAAAGTTTGATTGGACAGTTTGGAAAAGTTCAAATGTCATAGCCTAAAGAAACTTTAGTTTCCTGGTTCTCAAAGTACTCAGAGTAATTCTAGAGCTAAAGTGGTGATAAATATCAACTTTAGAGCACAAGTTAACACTCATCGCTGACCCAAGAAAACAGCATTCTTCTGTCCTACCTAAGGGTTTCAAATCTTAAGTCTTAAATCCAACACACTTTCTTCCTAAAACAGGATGCTATCTAATTTATTTGTAACCCCACTTAAATATTTCTTCCGTAAGACTGGACTAGATATATTATGCAAACAATAGTTTAGAAGCATTTGAGTCTTCTCAGTATTTTTTTCCACGATGGTTCGCATGAAAAGGAGAACAAAGACAAAACACAAACATACACACTAAAAAGACACAAGAGATAGTGAGAAATTAAATCTATAATGGAGATAGTTAGGGTAAAAAAATAAGATTGAGAATTACCTTTTTCTCATGGGAAGAGTACACACCAAATAAATAAATAAAATGCTTAACAGACTGGTATAATTTTTAAGTTATACACCAAAAAAGCAGATTTAAGGAACACAATAAGAACCGAGTACTACGATTTTTTTTGTACAGTATTAAAGTGTAAACACACAGTTATGCATATTACATAAATATGTAGCTTATATAAATATTACATAATTATTCATTAATGTTATAATATATAGCAATCATAATATATAGTAATATATACATTGAAAAATAAAAATGCAAAACTATACTCTTAGTCTGGTCATACCTCTCTTTCACCTCAATGTACACTAAGAATAATTTATAAAATCTAAAATTACCTACCAAAAACTCCAGTAAAACCTGTAGCTAATAAGTATTTCAAGACCATTACAAAATTTATCAAGAATGCAGTCACCATTAAATGATTATTAAAAGCACAACAATCTCAAACCTGACAATTTTTTAGCAAATGATACAGCTAAATCCTAAACTTTTGTCCAATAGATTTTTTCTTTTTTGAATAAGGTAGTGAAATATTTTTTGCCATTGGCATCCAACAGTACCTGGATCGTAAACCTGAAATCATCAAAATCATTAATTAAAAATGGTTTTTTTTTCTAAAATTACCCTGTTACATTTACCTGGACAGCACTGAGGGTATACAGAAGATGAGGATCATGACCTATGCTGGCACTTATTCCACCACATTCATGTTGACATGATTTGATGAATGCCAGAATTTCTTCTTTGTTCATTCGGTGCAGCTGCCCCATGAGATCCATTGCTGTCAGCCCCCAGTAAACACCACTCATCCTCAAATACTCCGACATACAGTATTCCTAAGTAGTGCATTATTTTAGTTCTTAATCAGATAAGCACATCATCAATATAGAGCAATGAAAATATATCAGTTAACATTTCCAAAGTTTGTAGTATGTCAACCATCTTCCATCCCATTAACAACTTACTGTGTATCAGCCACTCAGAAATATTCTATACATCGTGCATGTCTGTATATACACATGCATACATACAGGCAAATGGCACAGTATATATCTACAAACACTACATTCTCTTCGCCCCCTGTATTTTCTAGTTCCAAGTATCAAGCTCAATGTCAAACATTTACAAGTACTGGGCAGCAATTCACTCCATATCATCAGGTACTATCTTGGCATCCAAACTACCACTCAAATTACCACCCCAACAAGTCTCAAAAATAACAAGTCTAACACTTAATGAAACTTACTTCCAAGTATCAAAACTGCCACAATCTAAAAATGCACTAGGAAGTGAAGTTTCATATTGAATTATCTTACATTAATCACATCACCTACACTACCCATAAACATTATTTTCTACATGCAGTACTTTTTAAGCACAAAACCAGTCATAAGCAATAGCGCTTAGCGTTCTTTTGTGGACAGTAAAGGTAACTGCAACTCTTCTTCAGACATAAGCAGTTACTGACATTTTTCATCCGATGGAAATGGAATTCTATTATTGTAGGCTGTATCTGATGACCTATGACTGTGAAACTGATGCTAAAGTGTTTATCAGACCTACTAAGTATGAAGTAGTGCTGTGGTGACATTCAGTATGTTGTCCCATCAAAAGAGCAACATGTAAATGCAGCTATACTCATGCATTCTAGTGGATGAAGAAGCAACAAGTAGTTAATTTCTCAGGTCTCAGAGTAATTCTAGAGCTAAACCGATAATCTTCAAATTTATACTCAGATAATACATGCCAAAACTCATCACAGACCTAGGGAAATTAACAGACATCTTCTTTTACACTCTGAATTGCAGGGCAAGAAACAATTAGATTGTGAGCATGCATTTAATTCTTAACTCTGAGCAAGCGAATAAGGGTTATTATTGCTGTTAATAAAACCACAGATGTACTGAAACAAATCAACACCTACATAATCATCTTTCTTTGTCCCGTATGAAGCTATATAGTCCGCATGTTTCTCTGAAAGTAATGTGCTTGGGGCATCGGGTTTTATTACAACGTCCTTTTGTGGTGTCCCCTGTAAAAAGTACCAATAAAACGTCAGTTGTATTGTCAGTTCAAGAGGCTTTACTCCCTAGGTATCATTTAGTCAACAGCTAGTAGCAGTAACTGGAAACAGACATCTCTTCGTCTATTTTGAACATCAGGCAGATTTTGTATCTCTCATCGTCACTTCTGAGTCTGGCTAGATCCTAACCAGGGAAAGGCTGCGAACGAAATCTTTCAGCAAAGTTGAGAAAAATCACCAATTCGCGAGAAAAAAACCCGGAAGCGGTCCTTCACGGCGCGCGCAGGGGACGCCGCGCCCCTCACCGCGAAGGCCCCGGCGGGACGCAGACCCCGAGGCCCCACAGCGTGGGGCTGCCGCCCCGCGTCCCCACGCCGCCCCGACGTCGCCAGGCACCGCCAGGCCCAGCCCAGGCGGGCGGCAGGCGCGCTGCCGGGCCCACTCGGGAACCGGAGCGGAGAGCGCTACCAGCGCCGCCACCGCGGCCGCCGCAGCCGCTAGCCCGCGCCGGCCCCCCGGCCCGCGGAGCAGAGCTGCGCGGCTGGAAACCTGCGCGCCGCCGCGAAGGCGAAGGCACGGGCGCTGTCGGCCCGCCGGGCCGAGGCCTTTCCCTGGTACGGCGAGCGATACCCACCATGTTTGCCGCCTGCACCGGAAGGACCGTCGCGCTGCGGGGCGGAGCAAGGAGCGGCGCCCGGCAGGGCGTCGGTATAGCTGCCCGAGAGCCGCCCGCCGGCGTCTACGGGCCCGGCCCGGGGTGGCGCCAGGGGCGAGGCGGGAGCTCGCCGGGCGGCCCAGGCCGGTACCGGCTGCGGGGCCTGGCCGTCGTTCAGCACCGCGCCTCTCCCGGGGCTGGGCGGGGCGGCCGTTCCCGAGGCCGTGCTGCAGGGTCGGTGCGGCACGGCGCCCGGGAACCCGCAGAGGGCCCGCTCTCGAGCCTTCCGCATATAAGAAGACGTTAGGCTTGCCATAACTAAAGGTTATCTAAAGGGAGTAGATTTAAAGTGTACTAACTCCTGCTCTGCACTTCATGGCATCACAGCGAACAGGACATTTAGAAATAGTTTCCTTCAGGTACCTCAGTTCTGTGGAAAAGCAAATCCAAGAATTTGGCCACAGAGCAGATAACTGTCCTTTTGTTCAAAAAAACCCCCTTTGCTTCCTAATTAAAACTGTCTAGGATGATCGTGCTATTGATTACTGACACGTGATGCTGGCATGTGACCCATACCAGGGAGGAGCAGTATTTTGATTCTATACAGGAAATATTATGTGTAATCCTGTCTTGCATAGAAGAGTCAAAAATTAGTTTATTTTTTATGCATGTCAAATACTTATTTTTGCATTATTGGTCTTCCTTCGGGTAAGTAAGCTGGTGATTTATAGTGATTAAGCACTTTATTTAAAGAACTAAGTTCCCAGGTGGCCTACCTGAGAAATAAGCATTGCAAAACTAATACCTGATGACAGTAATTGTACCATCCAGCACTAAATTCAGATGATAAAAGATATCACAGCAAGGCAAGGACATTTTGGTAAGAAATTTCAAATGAATTCACAGAATTGTTGAAGTTTGAAGGGATCTCTTGAGATCATTGAGTCCAACCCACCTGCCCAAGCAGAGTCAGCTAGAGCAGGTTGTCCAGAATTGTGTCTAGTTGAGTATCCACTGATGGGGACTGTACAGCCTCTGCCAGTGTATGACATCTCTCACAATAAAAAAAGTGCTTTCCTGTGTTCCAGTGGAATTCCTTGTTTTAATTTGTGCCCACTGCCTCTTGTCCTGTCAGAGAGCACTACTGAGGAGAGGCTGGCTCCCTCTTCTTCACTGCATCCCATCAGGTATTTATGCACATACATAAGATTATCCCTGAGCTTTCTCTTGTCCAGATTAAAGTTTTAGCCTCTCCTCACATAACAGATGCTCCAATCCCTTAACCATCTTGTTGCCCTGTGCTGGAATCCCTCCAGTTACATCTGTATCTTTCCTGTACTGGGGAGCCTAAAACTGGACACAGTACTGCAGGTGCAGCCTTACCAGTGCAATTTGTTCAGGAAGTTGAGGGAGTGTCCATTCTGCCAGCACTGGCAAGAAGGGTCTAGCCAAGGTTAAAAAAAATAAATCTCTCAACAATGCCTTCTTCTCAGCTGTTCTTGCTACAAACATAGTTAAGCATATACACTGAGGGAAAGGTGTAACAGGTTTAAATATACTGGATTTGAAATAAACACGATCTTGTAAGTCATTCTTAAGGAAAAGCTACACAGTTTCACTTGAAGTGAACCATCGAATGTTTATTTGCTTAAGTGAGTGTAACAGTGCAAAAGGACACAATCTCTCAAACCGATACTGTTACTACTGGATAGTATCTAAATCCTCAGAACAGACATGCATGCAGACACTAGCAATGCAGGACTTTGTACTGCCGAACTGGAAAGGCTATTCAACTGCTGTGGGCAGGACCATAGTAGGAACTGAAGTACAGCTATTAATGTATTTCAGACACTGGACAACTTATCCAAAATACAATTTAAGTGACAAGCAAAATGAAGAAAAAGCAACCACAGTTGTCTTAAAAAAAATTATTAGAATGCAGCAATGATTGTCAGAAGTAGCATCCAGATCATCTAATTTTATAGGGAGGAAACACTGCGTAGTGATGTTCTCATTTATTGCCCATTTTGTAATTGAACAATCAACCACTTTAGCATTCAGAATGTTTAGAAAACACCAGCTTTGTTAGAAATGAAGTGAGGGACTGGACAGGGAGAACAGTAGTGGTTAATCATGTACAGAATGAAAAGATTTTGAAGGAAAAGGGTTTTTTTTGTCTTTTTTTTTTTTTTTTTTTTTACCATGCCTTTTTATTCTATTGAGAAATGCACTAAAATCCTTTTCTGTGAGAACACAGAACACTACAGCAGCGCCAGCCACACTGCAGATGTTTCTTTAAGCCTTAAATTTGCCAACATGTTCACGAGCTATGATCATCCTTTGAATCTGAGCAGTTCCTTCATAAATCTGAAAAGATGAATTGCAGTAGTGTTACCTGATGATTTTTTAAAAGGTTTTAACAGAGCTACGCTTTTAAACCTCCACGGCACTAATCCAGTGTGGATTAAGATGTGCAGAAAGACATAGAAAACAGAAAATTCCAGTGTGACAGAGTAACTACAGTGGGATAAATTGAATAAATCACATGCAAGATACTGAGAGACAGTCTTGTTCTCTCAGGTGCTCTTATCTAAACTCAGTAAGGTTCTCATGAAAATAAACAGACATGGTGGGTGAAGAAAGATGAGGAAAATTTCTTATGTGAGGAAGAAAATACATAATTTAGGTTTTACAAAGTAGGATTTAAAGCAATAGGTGGAAGGGAGGAGGTGACTCGTGCTGAAAGTGTTACATCTTCTTTGACTAGCCTTCTGAGGTCATACCAAATGTTGTCTTTGATCTATTTATTTCCATTGCTTCTTCTTAACTAGTACTCTCTGCCATACAGTTTTGTTTGGTGTTTTGTTTTTTTAATCATTGTGGGAATACAAGGGAAGATCGGTGAGGGGGACTGTAAACACGCTCAACTGACTTGCAGCTGGGGCGTTGAAAAACACATCTATCATACAAATTGTTGTTCAGCTTTGTGTGCTTGACAGGTAGAATGTCTGCACTTAGATAACACAGGCCTGTGAGAGACTCACAGGCAGCCTATCGAACATCCTTGAGATTCCTGCCCTGCTGTGGGAAAAATCAAATCACAGTGGAAAAGTATGCCTGTGAAAATCCCTGATATATAAATGCAAAAGCAGCAGGTTCAAGATCCTGCTCTTTCTTCTCCTCTTTCCGGCTAGCAAGGACTGAGCTCTGTGGTACCTGTGTCCCCGCTTGCGTGCCTCTGCCCAGGATTTGCTGTGGGGATCCCCCGGATCGTAAGGTAACGAGAATAAATTTACTATTTGCATTTCATCTGTGGTTTTGTGGTTGTTCCTGTGTCCTGCCTGTGCCAGCTCATGCAGTCGTATATTGCATTTTCTTCTAGAAACAGTCTTCATTATCCTTCCGTTCTATTTGTTTGTCGGCAGCAAAGTCAAAGATAGACAACAAAGCATATATAAAGCTCTAATGCTGAAGGAGGCCATATGCTCCAGGTATACTGCAATGTAATGTGAGGCCTGAGGCAACATAGTTTAGGGGTTTAAGTGTTTCAGCTCCCAGTTCTGCCAGAACTTAGTTTGGCAAATTGCTCAAATTCATGCAAATTCACTCTCTCACTCACTTACAGGAATAATCTTCCCAAGAACCTTACAAAGCTTTCTGAAAATAAAAATACTATAACGTGTGTTGACATTAGATTTTTGGCTCAGAAGAAATTGTTCATTCCCCAAGTGAATTCTCTGACTGCTGCAGCTTACCCCACGTTGATCCAGTTCGTAGAGCAGATTGTGTTTTGTGAATACTAGGTGCCTTTTGGAGCAAGCTGAAATGGAAGCTCTGTTTTCTCTACATACCAAATACCCACCAATCCCTAATGAAGACATAATGGTCCAAGCCTACAACTGGACCCTTAAAATTACATGCATATTGGAGACACAGAGTCCAAGGGACCAAACAGTCTTGCTGTGAACTCAGCCTGCCCAAACTGCTTATAGTGTAGTCATCAGAGCCTCAGCCACTATTCCTGCAATCTACTAACCTGCTCCTACCGCACTAAATTACTGGCTGATGAAGACAGCCATGGAACTCAAGTGTAAAGACAGCAAAACTCACAATCTACTTAAATAATTACAAGAAAGGTTTTGGTTTATAAGTCGATGGAAATAGTTTGAAGAATCATTAACAATTAAAGAAGGGAAGTTTTCCAAATCTGAGAAAGGAAACTTAAGTTAGAGTTTCTACCAGAGTAGCCTAGATTTGTAGCTAGGCTAACCTAGACCAGAGTGAGGATATGTAAAAATGTGACCAGTAAGCAGAGTATTAGAATTGCGTAATAATGAAAAAGATCAAATATATGGAAGAAAAATTGGAAAACCAAGTTTTTGTACATGAAACTTATGGCCAAATGCATAAACCATCTGGATTTGGGTAGCAATACTGTAAAGCACAGTGAAGTGTAAGGTATAATCAAGAGACACGGACAAACCAAACTTAAAGACAAAAGCCTTTCCTGAATTCTTTTGGGGATTAATTGGAATGGAAAGCCACCAAAAATTTAATACTAAATCTGACTAATCTGAACAACTAAAAAAAGTCTACTTAGCAATGCATTTGTGATGGATCAGTGTAATGGAAAATCTACATAACTGGGATCCTGTAAAATCAATCTCAGCTTTCAAATAAAGTTCTAGCCCTCATACCATCTTTCTCTAGAAAAGCATGTAACCTGACAGGAAAAAAGCCCAATTATAATAAAGTTCAATTAATCATTAATTTCCTCACTCACAGGAGTGCAGTTAGTTCTAAGAACCTTTAGATTCCAAAATAGCAGTTGTCTTTCCTTATAGAGAAAAATAATTTCTTGGCTAGTGAGAATAATAGTTTTCATTTAAAGTTTGCTGTAAGAGAAATATTAACTACCTAGAATGTTAAGAATGACAGCTGCTATAGCTAAATAACAGTATAGGTCGTGGTATTCATGCATTTCTTGATATCATGTATTTTGATATGTTTTTTCTAGTCACTATTAATGTCATATAATATCATGTCAATAAAGATTACTGGTTTTGCTGAACACAAAATACTCTTGCTGAATAAAGAACTGTAGCATAGTATATGGTAATATAAGAATTACAACATGGCATGGAATAATTTCTTGGCAGTAACACTGCAGAAAAAATCCTGGAGATTACAGGTGGCTATGGGCTAAACACAAGTAAATATCAGTGGGTTTTGTTCTTAAAAAAAAAAAAAAAGGCTAATCACTCCAGATGGTGTCACACTTCTGTTAATACAACATATGCAAGATAATTGTTCTATGATAATACTGGTGATACCTCAACCAAAGTATTCTACCCAGCTTATGATACCAAAGTTTCAAAGAAAAGGTTTAGAGCACAGCGACAAATGATGAAGACTGTGGGAACAGCAAGGAAAAACAAAAAAAAACCAAAACAAACAAAACATAAAACAACAACAAAAACTCCAAACAAAAAAAAACCCAGAACTTATAAAGAAAAAGCTGCTTTAGTGTTCAGGTTGAAAGGAAAGCTAAACTATAGATAGGCGCCAGTCCATAATACATGTGGAAGGTCAGAGGATTTCCACCACTGAAGGTTTCCAAGAACAGCATTATATATAAGCCATCTCTAGTTATAGAATACCAAAGCAAACATTGGTATTTTGATCATTTTTTTCTTCGGTGTTTTTTCCTAGGAGCTCAAAAGCTTCAAAATTAAGAGTTCAAGAATTCCAGAATTAAAAAAAAAAATAAAAAAAGAAAAAATATTTATTTCTCTTACATAGGTTGAATTGTTGGTCCAGTACAATGACACTGGTATGCAAGAAGTTGCCTGATTTGAACGACCCTTTCTTTAAATTGAAGGATTATTGCTTTGATTCTAAAAACTTTCTTTTTCTACATGTTTACATCATGATTTGAAATAAGTAGCCATTAGTGTCTTTTATATAAAATTTATCCATTACTGTAAAGATCGCATTACCTCTTTTACTTACCTGGTAGATTTTAGCGTCTCTCATTAGTTTTTCTACAGGATATTCAGTATTAAATCCATTTCCTCCAAAAATCTGTACTGCATCTGTAGCAACTTGGTTTGAAATGTCACCAGCAAATGCCTTTGCAATGGAAGCATAGTAGGTATTTCTGCAACCAGCATCAACTTCCCATGCAGCTCTCTGGTAAGCCATCCTAGCAAGTTCCACTTTCATTGCCATTTCAGCAAGCAGGAGACGCCGCTTGGTGCTATGAATGATGAAACAAACTAGGTTAACATCGCTGGCTTAAAATTCTATGACATCTAAGAAAAATATAGTATTCTTAATACAGTGTTCTCTTCAACAAACTCAGTAAACTGTACTAGAGTTCTACAGAATCTGGATCAGGCTCTTGTATGTTGAATTAGACTTTTAAGTTTTTAATTCTCAAATCCATTTAGTCATAGGGATTAAATACAGAATTATTATCTTCTTCTTTACTATTTATGAGATTGGTATTTACCTTGCTGTTTATTCATACCTCTTTAAAACTGGTAAGCGGTGTGATAACAATATATTCTATTAGTGTTATTACTGTGAGTCTCATTTCACATACCTCAGAGGTTTTTGCTTTCCTGAAAATACCTGTTTATTAGCTCTGAAGAATTTAAGTATGTCATAACAGTACAGGGGTTTCAGGTTTTTGGGCAGAGTTTCCATTCTTCTTTTACTATTATCATTGATAAACTATAGAAAAATTCCTGAAGTTACCACATAGCTAAGTTTACTGAAATCATACCAACCTATATACTTGGAAACCCAAAGATGGGAGATACAGTATAAAAATTAAGGAACTAAAAAAATCAAGGAATAACCTTGAAAAATTGTAGCAGTACATCTGTTGTGAAAGCATAGCTTTTATAGTCTCTCTCTTTCTCCCCCCCTGCCCCACCACTTACTTCAACAATTGCTTTCCCAAAGCTTTTTCTCTCCAAGGCATATCTAGTAGCTTCATCAAGTGCTCTTTTTGCTAATCCAACAGCACCAGCCGCTACCTGAATTGAATACAGCACAGAATCAAAAATCAGAAATTCCTGCTATATTTTATGAATTTTATTTCTGATCCTTACGGGTGGTCTGGTCTTATCAAAAGCTCCCATTGCAATTTTAAAACCAGCTCCCCCAGCTATTAATACATTTTCTTTTGGGATTCTCACATCTTCAAAGACAATACCTCTCGTATCTGAGCAACGTTGACCCATATTCATTTCCTGAAATGAGAAATTTACAGAGGTGCAACTAAGTTGGATTATTCAAAGGTACAACACATTTTCATTCTTCAGTTTACACAAAGCGGAAAGTACACTTTTCTCCTCAAAACACTTAATCTAAAAATTACCATATATGTGACAAATACTAGTTTTGTACCTGCAGACCAGCAGGCCCTTAATTTGTCTAAACTGGGCAGTTTACTTTCTCCTTACGTGAAATCAGTTCTGTAGCTGTAATCAGTCTTCCTGTGTTTCTCTAGTTCAACTATATCCTTTGAGATAGGAGTGGAAAAAGTAAAGAATCTGATATGCAGGCAGTACAGGTGTACTACAAGTAAATATATAAATAAATGAGCTTTTCAAATTTTGAGATTCATTTCCAAATGTTCAACATCCAGTTTTGCCTACTACAAATAACAGTATTTATTATTATTATCTTTAAAGAGAGAAGTAGCACCAGTGTCTCCAAGGCCTTGCCGTCAGCCAGCAGTAGCTAAAGCTCACTCTGCATGTATTTGTGGTTAAAGTTGTCCAATTTGCTCCTTATCCTTCCAAGGCATACTATTTCTCATTTATTGACACTTGTCAATAAAATAGTTCTCAAAGATTCTTTTGCAGCCGTTCAAAGTCATCTTACTTTTGCCCATTCTGAATAATTCCTTATCTGAATTAATAGTATTATAATTAAGTACTTCTTGTGAATAGTTTCTGTATGTTGTGAAAATGAAAAGATCATTGTACACGAGCATATGAAGACGTTCAGTGGCATAACAGTCTTTCTCCTTTAATAGTAATTTGTTGAATTATTGGTTTAGAATTGAACAGTAATTTCTAGCCTGAAAAATAAGATACAGTCTTCACCTTTCTTCCGATTTGGATTCCAGGGCTCTCTGCTTCCACGATGAATCCAGTAAAGGCTTTGCTTCCAGGAGCTTTAGGATCTGGATTGGTACGAGCTAGCAAAAAATACCTAGTGTAAAACAAGAGGGATGCAGTTAATCCTCAAAATTAACAACCAGATACTTTCTTAGCTAACATTTTAAATGTTTTTATGTGCATTTCTACCATATAATAGAATCTATCTGTAAGTTAACAACCCTTTATTCTTGCCCTTCCAAAAAATAAACTGAGAGGGAAAGAGAATTTTCAAAGATTCAGGATTTCATAAAATTTAATAAAATTACTTCAGATCAACATGCAAAGATTCTCCACCTTTTCCATGTACTTTAAGTCTTTATGAAATTATCAGCTTCATGAACAGTACAAAAGAAGCCTATTCATACCATGTACATAAAAAAACAATGCTTAGGAAATACATTCTTGCATGCAAAAAGTTATGTTATCAAAGATGTTAATTTTATTCTTCTAAGTTGCAAATAAGTATTTCTCTTAGAAATGAAACAGTTGTAAATCACAGTGTTTGGTAATGTCAAAGGTATCTGGTATATTGTTTTTGATGGATCTGACTTGAACAAGGAAATCAACTAAAACATTCAGCTTTTAGATAAATGCATACATTTTTTCCACTTGAATTAAGAAGAATTTGTGTGTTGCACCAAGAGGTGTTTCTAGTGGAATCAGAAGCAACTGATCTCAATCACTACAGCTACAAAGCAAGGTCGCTACTAACATGAGCATCCTGAGTACTTTGCAAGTCATGGCATACTGTTGCTGTTCTGCCCTGAAGAAAAGCAGAATTAATTTTGTTTGATAGCAGCAAGGTTCGAGAGGTCTTGCGTGAGAAGTTATCATGTCATAGCTCATTTTCCTTTTTTAGGCATTGCACAGCACTGGGTGCATTCTTATATCCTATCCTGATAAACTGGTCAGAGATTTAAGTGCAGTGTGTGGAAGAACAGTGAACATTCAGATTTATAACAGATCTTTAATGAATTTAACTTGGAGCAGGGAGGAGGGACACTGCTGAATTTGAAACCAACAACTGTTAACTCATGTTATACTTTCTAACACACCAGTTTGCTTTCCCACCATTTGTGGTCCACATCTTCTGACCATTAATAACATATTCGTCTCCTTTCTTCTCAGCCTTTGTTTTTATACCAGCCACATCAGAGCCTGCTCCAGGCTCTGTTACACAGTAAACCTAAAAGAAATTAAATGCAAAATCTTGAGGAATAAAAATTCTATTTTTAGGCAACCACAAATTATTGCAGGCTATGTGAATCAAACTGATCGGTAAAACGTTTAAGTGAACTGGATGGTAAAACCCCAAAACATTAAATAAATTAAAAAAAACCAAAACCACTCAGCCCCAAAACGCCTACACCAGCTGTCTGAGCAAGAATCCAAATATATATGGGTTAATTTTCTTGATATATCCATTATAGAACATAAAATAGTCTTTTAATCAAACAGAACTGTTCTGTAACCCTTAATCATTACTTCCTCAGGCTTCACAAACTCTGATGTGAAACATGAGTGTCTTTAAAATCTGAAAATAAGAGCACTGAGTAACATTTTATGTTTACCGTGTCTTTCATTTTATGGGGCTTAGTTGTTCAGATTTTAATGCATTGCACATGAATCTTTACTTCTTTCTGTGTAACAAGTACTGCTTATATAATATTTAACGTCACAAATAGAGATTAATTCCTATCCCAGTTGCGTTTTTCCTTACACAAACCTCCTATTTTTCTTAAACGCCTACACCTCTTCTTGAAAGGGAAATAAAAGGTATTAATATTTGCCAAGTGGCTTAGGATGGGGATGATTTTCCAAGTATTATCTTGTCTTTGCTTATCAAATGTATCTCATTAGCTATTCCCTGACTTTCAGTAAATGCCACTGTTTATTTACAAACCAAAACAGGCTAAGTTGTGAGTACATGTCAGTGCTTTCTGGGAAAAAAAAAAAAAAAAAAAAGAAAGAGAAAAAATATAAATAAGAGAAAAAATGAAAAAAAAGAGAAAAAATGAAAGAAATATAAAAAGGAGTGTTACTATTAATATGGTTTATGAACATTCTACAGTGTAGCAGTTAAACTTACACACATCATTGGTTCCTCTGTCATTCTTCCTAAGTACTTTTTCTGCTGATGCTCGTTTCCTGCAATGATTACTGGCATTTGCTGAAAGAAAATATTTAGACCATTTAAAGTGCACAGATTCTAGTTTAAGGGATGTATGAAAAGTCAGAACTTACCCCAAGGGAATTTGCTCCGATGGCAGTTTGAACCCCTGTGCATCCATAAGCTAACTCTTCTGTAATAAGGCATGCTTCAAAACTACCAAGGCCAAGACCACCTACAGTTGAAATATTTCACTCACTAAAATGGGTTTCAATTGTAACGTACTAGTGATTTCACAAATTAATTAACAAAAACATAATCCCCTATGTATATTTGATTGTGTACCATGTTTGATTAGACATTCTCATGCAAGCTTTTTAAATAGACTTTTGTCACATGAGTAACAGGTGATTTGAAAATTACATCACAGTTCCAGGGTTATTGTGTGATTAATGTGAGACAAGTTGCACAAAGTGACAAGAATGTACCACTAATTTTTTTACTACTTTACATTTCAGAATTAAGAGTTCTTAGGAAGTAGAGAAAGGGCTCCTAACCTATCACAGGACTTAGGGGGGGGAAAAAAAAAGTGTCCATACTAGTCAGACAACCAAGTCAGTAATCTGTTTCTAACAGAAGCCAACACTTTGGGAAGTACATACAAATACAACAATACAACTATACTTCCTCAATAATATTTTCCGGAGCCTTCAGGTGACTTCCTCAGCCAAAGAGATACCTCTCTTTGATATCTTTGTTATGCTAACCTTTGACTGTGTCCTGGGTTGAGTGAGTGGTGGAGTTTTTTTGGTGGCAGGGGAGGGGGCTATCGGGGCGGCCCCCTGTGAGAAGCTTCTCGAAGCTCCCCCAGCTCCACGTCAGCTCCACTTCTGTTTGGAAAACTGAGCCAATCGGCTGCGCCTCTGCGATAACGTATTTAAGAAGGGACATGGTGACGGGCAGTGGCACTGGTGAGGAGGAGTTGCTGCAGCTGCGTGAACACCAAGGTCAGTGGAGGAACGGAGGAAGAAAGGAGGGGGGAGGTGCAGAGACCCCCCTGTATCCTGTGGTGAGATGGCAGGGCGACCCCCCCCCTCCACCCGTGGAGATCTACGGTGGAGCAGACATTGATTTATGGCCTGTGCTTTTTGCCTGGATGATCAAGGTGCTGTGCCCAAAGAAGGCCGGGGTCTCGTGGGAAAAGGTAGCCCCACTGCTGTAATTCAGCGCTGGGAGGATTGCAGCATGCAGGGATATCCCACGCCAGAGCAACTCGGGAAGGGCTGCAGCCGTGGGAGGCACTCCAGTTGGAGAAAGTTAGTGACCTACGATGGAGCAGTGTGGGGAACGCTGCAGCCCGTGGGAGGGACTCATGTCAGAGAAAGTTTGTGGAGGACTGTCTGCTGTGAGAGGGGGACCACGATGGAGCAGGAGGAACAAGTTCCGGAAACTCCCCTCACCGAAGATGAAGGAAGTGTCAGTGCTGACTGCACCCCCCATTCCCTGCCCCTGCGCCACTGGGGGAGGAGGCAGAGATATCGGGAGCAGAGCTGAGCCCGGGAAGAAGGGAGGGGTGGGGGGAAGGTGTTCTCAAGATGTGGCAATGCTTCTCACTGACCTACTCTGTTATGTGTTGTTAGTGTCTGTAATAAATGTGTGTTCTTTTTTTCTTCCCCTAACGAGTCTGCCTTTTGCTTGTGCCCATAAAGGGTGATTTTCCCCATCCCAGTCCTATCTTAAACCCCAAGCCTGGCTCATCTGTCCCTTCTCATTGCCGGAAGAGAAGCGGGAGAGAGTGGCTGCGTGGTGTTTGGCTGCCGACCAGGATCAAACCACAACAGACAGATATTTCTAATGTGAATTTGCCCAATCTCTTTTTGAATCTATGTAAAATTTTAGCATCGATATCACCTAGGGACAACAAGTTTCACAAATTAGTTACACACTGCATGTTGAACCATCTCCTTTCATTTATTTTGAACCTGCTATCTGCTGACTTAATTTGATGCCTTCTAGTTATATTGAAAGGGACAGTGAACTATCAGTACCTTTTAACACTCTCCGTGACACTGACATTTTTGTCATTTCTCACACAGAAGATACATTTTTTACAATCTATTTCATCCTTTTAGGAAGCTTTTCCATTTCCACAATACTCTTTTGAGATGGAAGGATCTGACTACATAATGAATTAAAGAAGCAAGCGCAATTTAGACTCAGGCAGCACCATAATTATGCCTTCTGGTTTTTTCTTCATTCTGTAAAGGTTTCTTTTGACCTTAAATTTTATGATTTTGACCACTTCTGAGCATTATGCTAATAGTCACAGAACTATATATTATAAACCAAAGACCATCTTTTTTTTGAGGCAGTAACTAGTTCAGAATATACCATTTCTCTGTGAAGTTTGTATTGCTTCTTTCCCTTTACATGTGCATCACTTCTTTTTTTGAACTGCATTTGCCATTTTGTCACTCAGTTTCATGACCCTCTCCTTCAGCTCTTTGTACCAGCCTCATCTTTTCTACACTGAATAACTTAGTAATTACTAGTAAACTCTCTCACATCAGTATTGACCCCCTTTTCCAGTTTATTTATATATATTTAAATAGCACAAGACCCAGCAAGGCTGTGATGCTAATTTTTACACTATGAAACCTGATTATTTTTAAAACTCATTCTGGATGCTCACGCATTCTGTATCAACCAGGCATCCCTTGTTCGCACATTTATTAGCTACTTCAAAGGACTCCACTAATTTTATGAGGCATGACTTCCTTTCACAAAACCCCTTCTCTAGCATATCATGTTTATCTGTGTCTACTATTTCTGCACTTCATTTTACTTGCTCTTAATTTACATGCTGTATCAGGCTTACTAGTATGTGTTTTCCTAGATCTCCCTTGCAGATCTTTTAAAGCAATGGTGTCCAATTTGCCATTTGTAGTTTTTCATTTAATAATCAAGTGATTGTACATTGCAGTAGTCTCGCTATTTCACCCCTTAATTTCTCTATAATTTGTGGCTGAATAAATCTAGTCCTCACAATTGCTCCTTTTGTCTCTTTGTTCCTTAACTTTGTTTCTAAAATTTTTGATACAAGATATACTCTCTTAATAGTCTTCCAAAAAAAGGGTCTGCTACGGACACTGCCCCACCTCATTTTTCAGGTAATATAAATGCAAAAAAAACCCAAACTCCAAATTTTAAAAGCCCACATGTTTTACACCTAAACACTGCCAAAGCACTGCTGTACTGCACCTAATCTAAATTGAAAAACTGCCCTTTTGAAATAAACTCTTAAATTGCTCCAGCCTGTGTCAGAGACCAGAACAAAATATGACCTTCTAATTTCTCTGGCTAATCAGCTAACACAGTGCACTAGGGGAACATTAGGCAGTTGTAATCACAGCAGGAAAATCTGGTCATAAATTACTAAATCATAATCTGTCTAATTTGTCTGCTGATTACATCCACACCTAGTAATACTTGTATGTGTCAACCTGCCTACTGAATAAATTTAGAGTATTCAAGTATGCATCTGTTTATTTTATACAGAATACATAATTACACATATAAATCTCATCTAATGCCTTTTCTTGGTTTCATTTTACACATTAAAAAGAATGTTTACTTACCACAGCTTTCTGGTATGTGTGAATTCATAAGACCAAGTTCCCAAGCCTGTTTTATAAGTGGAAGAGGATACTGAAATAGACAGGGGAAAATCATCTTCTGATTCATCACAATCAACATTTTAAATTTTATGCATGTTAACATAAAAGTGTATTTTTTCCTTATCATTATGGTAGACTTACCTCTCCAGTTTTGTCATATTGTGCAGCAACAGGAATAATTTCCTCCACAGCAAATTTACGAGCAGTAGCTTGAAACTCTTTCTGTTCATCAGTAAGTTCTATTTAAAAAACACAAACAAACAAACAAAACAAAACAAAACAAAAAAAAAACAAAACAAAAAATAAACAAAAACCAACCAACCAACCAACCAGGTCACAAATTCTCTACTATCTTCAATTTTGCAAGTTGTCAGACTTTGAGAGAAAAGGAGTGTTCTTCCAGGACAACTCAAACCACCACTTCCTGGATTCTCCAGGAAGTAAAAAAGCTCAGCTTCCTCTTCCACCTGGGAGAAAACTTCCATTGTTCTCTTGTCAACACCTACAATGCACGCACTTACTTCTGATGAAATTATCCACAAAATATTGAGAATGGAGTAGAGAGGACTGTGTAACATAAAATGTATTACCAAAAGAAACAAGAACAATGCTGTGCTAATTAAATGAAAGAAGAGGAGGCCAATGTCTGATATGCCTGGCTATTCAATTACTTTAGCATTGTAAATGGCAATGTGAGATAATTATTCAAAGCTAAAACACTTTGGCAATAAAAAAGCTTATAACAGACACAAGTTAAAAAAAGAAGAAAATCTTGTAAACACTACACACATACCTGACTTGCCTGAAGAAAGTAATTTTGGTTTTCAAACTTTTTTTTTTAAAAGAACAGAAATCTATTTAGATTAAACACATTCATTTTAAATTAATGTTGAACTGCAATACAGGATTTTTTTTTTTAACTTCTGTAATTTGCCCTTCATTGATATATTTATTTCAAAAACTGTAATACCTACCAAAGCTAAAGCCAGCTCCAGGTTTGCCTGTATGTAAGTTTTGAGCAGGTTTACTAGAATACGACTTCCATCCATGCCCTGCAATGATTTGTAGCATTTGCTAAAGAGAAAAAAAAAAAATGAGGTATAAGATCTTAACAGCTCAGGTCTCCTAAAGCTACTAGCCTGACTGCAGCACAACTTTAAGCGTAGAATCCCTCTTTAGAAACAATATCACATCAGGTATAATACAATTACTACCATGATAAAAAAATTCTTGGGTACTTTCAGTTTTATTCCTGTGGCAATCAGCATTCACATGAACTGACTGCTATAGCAGGAATCCTAGGCTTTAACAACACCCTGCATGAGTGAACTGCCATATACACTTTTAAGTATTGCACAATTAATTATTTAAAAATAATTAAGCATAATTAAAATTTATGTTCATATAGACATATGTATGTCTTTAATTTATACACACACTCATCAAACCTGATTTTCTTGCCCACTAGTGAATTACTCCATCTATCCAATGTTTACCTACATGCAGATTTAGCAATACTTTAAAACCAACCTACCTATTAACCAATATCTATCAGAATATTTTGATAATGTCTCATACTCATGTCTGGTTTCTTTTAATAAGCTGTTGCCATGGACACTTGGAGTATAATAACAGTAATGACTAAACAGGATAGAACTCAGCAGACCAACTCAAGTTTATTTTTCTTCCTAATACTTATCCCAGATTTATTAATTTTCATTGTGCTTTCTTTGCTTTTTTAAGTTTAGTGCCCAGAAATATTATTGTTAGTTATTTTCAGAATGCCTTAATACTGTTCAAAAACATGTCTGAATTTGATTTTAGAAGGTTGTTTTACTCTCTTTCATTCTTCAGTAGCTATAAATGTCTGAAATGTTTGGAAAAAGTGGAAAATATTTAACTGGATAAGTTTCTAGAAAGACCCAAATCAATACTGTGTGAAAACAAATTAGCCTAAACACTAAGAAAAGGCTTATTCTTGATTTTCTTATTTGAAAATGTCAAAAAAAAAAAAAAAGTGTCATCAGACCAATCACTTATTTCCTAACATTAAAACAAACTGAATTAATCATAATAGTGCAAAAATACCACAGAAATTTTACAGGAAACTCTAGAAGACAAGGATACTACATAAAGTTAGATAGCTGGGGAGGCAACAAGTAGCTTCCAAATAAAGTTGTGGTAGATAACTGTGCTCTTAAAAATAAGAATACTTATGCAGAGATGGTTACAAAGTCACACCACAAGAAACATGAAGAACACCAGCGATAATAGTTATCAACACCATGAAAAAAGTATTTGCAGAGGATACTAAAAACATCTATGAAGTTGAAAGGTGAAGAAACGCAGAAAGACCACTACCAGGCATAGAAGAGGGGGAGGCAATGACGTATCTGAATACTTAACTGTTAAATCAGTTTATTAATTGTTCAGGATTGCATTTGCCAGTAGGCCACAAGCCACAAACATTGCAAAATGGTATCTTGCTAAGTTCTGTGTTACTGCTACCACTCTTATATAGAAAAATAAAACAAATAATACCAACATACATCAAGAAAGATGTCAATCCTTCAGAATGTTTTATACCTTATTTTATCTGGAAAAAGGCAAGGTTGAAATAAAGCCAGAAAATTGCATTTTTTTTTTTTTTCAGAAGCAGCCCTTGTTAGACTCATACATAGCTTTGCCACCAAAAAGTTTTGCCAACACTATAAAAAGTACTGAATTCAAACTAATGCTAAAAGTGATACCATACACGAAAGAAGCTGTCAAATTTATACTAGAGAACTTATGTCTATTGTGTTTATTGTACCAGAGTACTGTGCAAGGTCAACTCTGAAGATTACTCTGGAAAAACTCAACACTCGCCCCACAAATAGAAATATTAATTGGACAGATGGGTTTTATACCTGGAAGTTGCATGAGCGATCAAGTGGCAAAGGATCATGATTTGCTACATGTAAGAATTTAGATGACCGTCTACTCTGTCAACTTTTCTATTGCTTGACTCAGAACAACAGTTAGATTCAGTGAGAAGCTACCGCTAGTGATTCTCAGATGCAACTCCTATTGCATTTCTTTGCACTGTTGCATAACCTCTGTAACTATCAGAAATATGATTGTTAAAGTGGCAAGACTAACACTGGAATACTCTGCTGTCAGAAAAAGGGTATGACAAGGATACACATGGAAGTGATGCAATCTTTATCACCTTAATGCCAAAAGAACTACAGAACTTGTTCAAAAAGCTACATATCACAGAAGACAGCACAACAATAAGGTCGCTAATCTCTATTCTCCCTCACATAACTCAGGACAAAAATGAAGAGCTGTCAAGAGCAGTTTGTTGCTGGAGTAATATGTCAGGAGGCTGAACCTGAAATACCAACACTCTATGGTAGGCATTAACTAACTGTTAGCTTCCAATGCCTAAAGCATTACTTTTGATCTAGAAAACACTAGCTGGCTTCAGATGGAGACTGGAGTCCTCACTGACTCTGTCACAGCGATGCTTTGGACACATGGTCAAGCTGCATCACTTTGGGTCAAAATAACACCGCTGCCAGGAAGCTCTGACAAAGGGCCCTCCAACTAATTCAGACTCGTGAATGACTCTGGAAACAGAGAAACCGGAAAAAGGCCTGTGTAAACGCTAAACAAGGTACTACCCATGTTTTGAGTAATTTTTACTTTCTAGCTTTAACCTAGGAGGTTATTGGTTGTTCAATACAGCAGAACATTAGTACTTTAGAAAAACAGCTACTGCACATCACACATATTCTAAAAAATTAGCATAGGTAGTACAGTTAGGTATGTTCTAGGAAATGCATTGTATAAAATACCCTGAACTATAAACCCTGGTGTCTCCACCGTTTAAGTGGAAAGCAGGAGGTGCCCGATGTACACAGGGTTTTTCTAAAGACTTTGCATGACGGCTTTTGGCACATGAAAAGCCTTGGGGTTGTGCAACAACTTCGCTGAAGAATAACAGGTTGCAGCACCCCTTCAGACCATGAAGATTAAGCCCGTAACTTCACGTATAATAACACAGAGACAGGAAAAACAAAACAGCAAGCGGATTTCAGCCCTGCACGGCTTTGCCCTCCGGGTCAGCCCCTCAGCCTTCCGGCTGTCACGGCGTCGCGAACCGGGCTCGCCTCGCGGCAGCCCCCCGCGCTCCACGGCCCCGAGGCCACCGGAGCTTCCGGCCCCTCGCCCTCGGCCCGTGACCCTTCCCCGCCGCCGGAGCGCCTGCCGCCCGCCTCGGCCCGCCCCGCCCCGCCTCGCCTCGGCCCGCCCCGCCCCGCCCCGCCCCGCCCCGCCTCGCCTCGGCCCGCCCCGCCTCGCCCCGCCCCGCCCCGCCCCGCCCCGCCTCGCCTCGGCCCGCCCCGCCTCGCCTCGGCCCGCCCCGCCCCGCCCCGCCCCGCCCCGCCCCGCCCCGCCCCGCCCCGCCTCGCCTCGGCCCGCCCCGCCCCGCCCCGCCTCGCCCCGCCCCGCCCCGCCTCGCCTCGCCTCGGCCCGCCCCGCCCCGCCCCGCCTCGGCCCGCCCCGCCCCGCCCCGCCTCGCCTCGCCTCGCCTCGGCCCGCCTCGGCCCGCCCCGCCTCGCCTCGCCTCGGCCCGCCCCGCCTCGCCTCGCCTCGCCTCGGCCCGCCCCGCCTCGGCCCGCCCCGCCTCGCCTCGCCTCGGCCCGCCTCGCCTCGCCTCGGCCCGCCCCGCCTCGCCCCGCCCCGCCCCGCCTCGGCCCGCCCCGCCCCGCCCCGCCTCGGCCCGCCCCGCCTCGCCTCGCCTCGGCCCGCCCCGCCCCGCCCCGCCTCGCCTCGCCCCGCCCCGCCTCGCCTCGGCCCGCCCCGCCTCGCCTCGCCTCGGCCCGCCCCGCCCCGCCTCGCCTCGCCTCGGCCCGCCTCGCCTCGGCCCGCCTCGCCTCGACTCGCCTCGCCCCGCCTCGCCCCGCCCCGCCTCGCCCCGCCCCGCCTCGCCTCGGCCCGCCCCGCCTCGCCTCGCCTCGGCCCGCCTCGCCTCGGCCCGCCTCGCCTCGACTCGCCTCGCCCCGCCTCGCCCCGCCCCGCCCCGCCTCGCCCCGCCCCGCCTCGCCTCGGCCCGCCCCGCCTCGCCTCGCCTCGGCCCGCCTCGCCTCGGCCCGCCCCGCCTCGCCTCGCCTCGCCCCGCCTCGCCCCGCCCCGCCCCGCCTCGCCTCGCCTCGCCTCGGCCCGCCCCGCCCCGCCTCGCCTCGCCTCGCCTCGACTCGGCCCGCCTCGCCTCGCCTCGGCCCGCCCCGCCTCGCCTTGCCTCGCCTCTCTCCGGTCCGGTCCGGTCCGGTCCCTGTGTCCTCCAAGCGCTCGCGTCGCGTCGCCACCGCCCGCCCGGCCGCTCACCCGAACACCCCTGGACACCGCCATCTCCGCGTGGATGCTCGGCGACCACGGAAACTCCCGGCGGGGCGGGGCGCCCGGGCGGGGCGGAGAGCTCGGGCGGAGCGGGGCGCCCGGGCGGAGCAGGGCAGGGCGCTCGGGCGGGGCGGGGCGCTTGGGCGGGGAGGGGGGCGGGGCGCTCGGGCGGGGCGGGGACGGGGCGGGGCACTCGGGCGGGGCGTGGCGAGGTGCTCGGGAGAGGCAGGGGACGGGGCGGGGCGCTCGGGAGGGGCGGGGCGAGGAGCTCGGGCGGGGCAGGGGAAGGGGCGGGGCGCTCGGGCGGGGCGGGGGACGGGGCGGGGCGCTCGGGCGGGGCGGGGGACGGGGCGGGGCGCTCGGGCGGGGCGGGGGCGGTGCCACTCTCCACCCCGTGGTCCGTGTTTACTGAGGATTTGAGAAGAGAGGAATATGAGAGATGGCAAGGTTATCCGCCAAAGCCTGAACCACTTGAACTTTAAGGCTCAAAATTATTTACGTAAGTAGTGACAATCGATAGAAGTTTCTGTTAGGTGTATCTAGTATTTTTAGCATTTCTCCCAGAAGCAAGAAATACAGCATTCATCTCTCCCTTTTATCTTCTCAAACCCTTACTAGTCGGTCATATTTCTTATTATTCCTCTGATCACTTTTACTACAGTAAAAACTGCATACTGCACCATTCATTACATTATTAACTTAGAATACTCTTTTATATTAACCACCAGAATACATGATGCTTATTGCTGAATTGTATAAAATAGCGAGTAAACACAAAAAGAATATTACATTGCAAACTACAGCTCATTCCTTAAAATTAGCATCTGTATTCTAGGCTGAAGTGCTATTTTTTGTAGCAGTTATAAATCTTTTACAGTTTATTTTTTTAATTGCTAACAAAAAACTGTATTTTAGCATTTGCTAATGAACCTTAATTTTAGAAATGGAGAGCAACTTTAATTTTCTGCAGTGATTTATGTAATGCAGATTACTGAAGGTACTGCAGTAAATGAACATTGCAAAATTTAGTGTGTAGGTCCTGAATTAATGATCTACAAAGTAGAATCCTTTTCAGTGTAGTGCAGTGCAAAAAGCATGACAACTTCTTCTTAATAAAATGATTTAAGTATTTTTGTTTTTCTTTGATCCCTGCTACAATAGTAACTTAAAACATCTTAAACCCAACATTTTTTACCTAATCTTCTGTTGTAAGCTCATGTAATTTTTGTAGTATGTCTTGCTTGGCTGGTTGGGATTTTTGTCAGCTTTTTCATGGTCTTTAAAGCAATACATTTATTTGGGAAAATAATAAAAAAAAAAAAAAAAAAAAAAGGAAAACACCTATATGGAAACCTTTGAATTATCTAAAAATGAAGACAAAGTGATGCTTGAATTAAAATATTTTCACGTATATTTTTAGCTTGTTTGATTCCTGGGTATCACAAACATTACTTAATTTCAAATTTTCGATTTCTTTTATTTACAAAGCCATATCTGCTCTAGTCTTGGAGGCTTTTCACTACTATATATAAGCACATGAAATATTTTTTTCCTTTAATATCATAAAAACATACTGAGTTACATTCATGTGACTTTCTAACACGAACTACAAAGAAAAAGAACTGACAGATATTCAGAGCTTGAGAACAAATAAAAACACATTTAGTTGTATTTTGTAATATTTTTGTCCTGTATGACTTTCTGAAGACACAGAAAGTCAGTGGAAAGCTCTGAAGATAAATTCTGAACCATGCCTTACAATAAAGATCATGTGTCTGATTTTTTTCAAAGTATGATGAAATTCACTTTAGAATTTTCCAGGACTACTTTAAGAAACAAGTACGTACTTAGACAACCATGGCTTTCACTTGTGTGAAATAAAAACATGTTAAGCATTTAAAAAAATAGAGTGAGGTACGGCTTATCTATGTGTAAAGGAAGCATCTAGGACATTCTAGCACTAAGTCAATTTTAATCACCGTACTGAAATATGCTGCAGCAGGCACTTTAGCAGCTAAAAGAATCCTCGAGCGATGTTGTTTGGTACATTTCTCCTTGTAGATTCATATATTAATAAATGCCCAGTTGTAATGAGCACATCTCTCAAACGTATTTAACACTTGTAGGTTAGATACCAGAACAGTAAAGTCACACAAAAAAAGCGTTTTGTCAAAGAGGTGTGTGTGTCTCTGGCAAAACCCTTCTAAATTTAGCGTGTAGTTCCCTGTAGGCAAAGTTTTAACGGCACAGTGACAGTAGAGGGCGATGCAGAAAGGCCTTTATAGGCTGGATTTTAAGAACATTTCTATTATAGCAAATCAATCGTGGCTATGCAAGACTATACCGATTCTAACATTTAATAACATACAAGGACTTAACCGTGTGAATGAGTATTGATGTCAGATACAATGTAGATATTAATTTTATAGTAAAACCTGTATAGTTATTTTTAGCAAGTGCAGCAAATGACAAAACACAAAATAAATTCTGCCTTAAATCAGAAGAGTTCAGTTTCCATAACAGCTGATAGAACCGGTGTCCATATGCTGAAGACAGAATTCAATAATGATTGCAGCTGTTGGTGTTGTTGAATTGTGTAAGGTAGAGTTCAGAAAGAGTAGCTGAGATTATAGCCCTATTGAGGCATGTACAGTGAAAAAGAAAAGAAAGGGAAATCTTATGTTGGAGATCCTGTAAGAAGACTAGTGGAATGGAGAATATGGGCACAAGAAGGTGAATGTTGAGATTTTCATCTAACATTAATGTGACAAATAACTAGGACCTTTGAAACACTGATAGCTAAAACTCATTTTGCCGTGAAAGTAACACATCTCATACTAGGTCAGATCAAAGGTCCATCTAGCATAGTGTTCTGTTTATGGCAGTTGCAAGGAGGAATGCTTACGGAAGGGTTCAAGAACCCAAAGAGCATTTACCAATAATGTAGTAAACAAGGAGGAAGCCATAAACAAGAACATAAAGAGATGCAGACCTGACTGACAAATGGTAAGGGAGAGGCAGTGATGAAACACAAACCCGGTGAGTCACACTAATTGATGAGGGAATGTTGTCCTGGGTTGAGTGAGTGGTGGAGTTTTTTTGGTGGCAGGGGAGGGGGCTATCGGGGCGGCCCCCTGTGAGAAGCTTCTCAAAGATCCCCCAGCTCCAAGTCGGACCCACTTCTGTTTGGGAACTTGAGCCAATCAGCTGCGCCTCTGCAATAATGTATTTAAGAAGGGACGTGGTGACGGGCAGTGGGACTGGTGAGGAGGAGCTGCGGCAGCTGCGTGAACACCAAGGTCAGTGGAGGAACAGAGGAAGAAAGGAGGGGGGAGGTGTGCTGGAGCAAAGACCCCCCTGTATCCTGTGGTGAGACGGCAGGGCGGCCCCCCCCTGCCACCCATGGAGATCTACGGTGGAGCAGACATTGATTTATGGCCTGCGGCTTCTGCTTGCCTGATCAAGGTCCGTGCCTGAAGAAGGCCAGGGTCTCATGGGAAAAGGTAGCCCCGGTGCTGTAATTCAGTGCTGGGAGGATTGCAGCATGCAGGGATATCCCACGCCAGAGCAACTCGGGAAGGGCTGCAGCCGTGGGAGGGACTCCAGTTGGAGAAAGTTAGTGACCTACGACGGAGCAGTGTGGGGAACGCTGCAGCCCGTGGGAGGGACTCATGTCAGAGAAAGTTTGTGGAGGACTGTCTCCTGTGAGAGGGGGACCACGATGGAGCAGGAGGAACAAGTTTTGGACACTCCCCTCACCGAAGATGAAGGAAGTGGCAGCACTGACTGCACCCCCCATTCCCTGCCCCTGCGCCACTGGGGGAGGAGGTAGAGATATCGGGAGCAGAACTGAGCCCAGGAAGAAGGGAGGGGTGGGGGGAAGGTGTTCTCAAGATGTGGCAATGCTTCTCACTGTCCTACTCTGTTAAATGTTGTTAGTGTCTGTAATAAATGTATGGGTTTTTTTCTTCCCCTAACGAGTCTGCCTTTTGCTCGTGATCATAAAGGGGAATTTTTCCCCATCCCAGTCCTATCTTGAACCCCAAGCCTGGCTCTCTGTCCCTTCTTATTGCTGGAGGGGAAGGGAGAGAGAGCTGCTGCATTGCGGTTGGCTGCCAACCTGGCCCAAACCACAACAAATGTTTATTTCACTAAGATTGTCTGATCAAAGGTCTTGTCAAATGGGATACCAAGAAAAAGTGGGAAGCCCTAAACTAGTTGTGTAAAAGGGGGCAGTCAGTACACTTGTCTGACAGAGTCCAGCACCTGATCACCACAGTCTTCTTATTAAATCCTATCTTCTTACTAAATCTTTTCTTAACTATCTCTCTGTAATCTCACTATCTATTCCATGTGTATGTGTGTCGTAAAGATGAAGTGCCAGCTACTGAGGGTCCTGTGTGAGTGCATTGGGTACCAGCAAACGGAGTCAGACTGGGAACATGGGTGCCCCTGGCCTGTGGTGCCAGCTACCAGAGCCAGTGAGGTCTCAGGGTCAGCTACTCGAGTGGGTGGAGGTCTCAGCTGCTGGATGAGGTGGGAACAGCGTGTGCCCTGAAAACCTGCTACTGGGAAGAACTGGGGGCTCAGCGCTAGCAGCTGGAGCAGGACCACAAGTCACAGCTCATGTGCCTGATGCTGGCTGATGAGGGTGGCGAGTGCCAGTATCTTCCCCAAAGTGGGTGTGCGTGTCTCATTAACTGGCCAACTTCAAGCTGGACTTGTTGGTGAGTACGAGACACTGGGTCCAGGCAGGCTTATCAGGCAAGCAAGGATCCATGCTGTTATCCAGGGCAACCAGTGAGTGTGGAGTGCCTGTAGGATGAGCGTGAGTGCTACGTGATTGCATCAAGCATCAAGCTGGACCAGCCAGTAAATTGGTGGCCCTTGAGGAAGGTAAGAGAGCTGGGATCCAGGCAGAGCTACCGGGCAGAGAGAGGGGCTATGAGTGATGAGTGTGCCCGTGCTTGTGCATCCAGAGAGACTCGTGTGTGTGCCCACACCTTTTGACTTTGCCAGCCCAAGTGGAGGAGGGGATGTGGCTGCCTGTGCTTGCGTTAAATGTGGGTCCTGTGTGTAGGTACGGTCAAAGGCAGTGCT